AGCTGTAATGTAAATGCATGCTTATGCTAGTGGCACTTTATTGTCTTGCATGGGTTAACAGAAGGGTGTTGAAGCTATTTTTGTTCTTTCTGCTCTCTTATCAGCTGATCAAAAATGCCGTTTCTTGTTTATCTGCCCTATTTGTTTTATGCAAGAGTTTAAGGCTTGACTTACCCTGACTTTTGGTGTCCTGTCACAAGGTAACTGGATACTGAAGGTTAATTGTTTACAAGAGGGAACCGGGGAATGAAAGGAGGGGGAGGAGTAAACTTTACATATAACTTCATATGGAAAGAGTTTATAGGTAGCTGAAACAGGAGGCAGTAGAGGAACTACATGTGACAGAATTATTGTCCTCTACTAAGATACTAAAGACAAAGATATAATTGCAAGGCTTTGAATAGAGAAGTACTGAGGAGGTATTTAAGTTGCTTATCACTGACAGTTTCAGGAATGAGGAACAAACTCCATTATGATAGAAGTGTTTAGGACTCCCATTGCCTGTACCATGATTTCCAGTTTTTTTCATAATACAAGTATGTAAAAGGGAGCATTAAGTAATTGTGAGAGTCTAAGAGGAATTTTTTTAAGAGAGTGATCATGATTCCATTTAATATTGAAGATGTTATAAGGTGTAGAGTGAGACAAAAAAAGAAATTAAGGAAATCAAACTTGAAATTCATGATAATATGTTATAAGATTAAAAACTGGAGATGTTTAAATAGCCAAGAAAGAAGCAGACAGGAAAGAGTGATTTCATATGCATAAAGGAATTATGAATTTACTATGTAGAATACAGCTATATATTATAGGACTCAGAGTTATTCTTAAAATACCTTTGCTGATTTCCAGTACTTACAGTTTTAGAATTAAGCAATATTCAAGAATTTAAGCACCAGTTTTCTTATCTTCTAAGTAACCATTTGACTGCAATGATGCTGTAAGGTTGTATTTATTCATCAGTTTTAATATCCAGAGCATCTTTTGCCCTCATGTTGTTCACTGTTTGAATTAAGATTTCCTGACCTACAGAAATTTTTATTTATGGATATTTTAGCTAGTTAGGTCAGTAGTTCCCAAAAAGCTAGGACATTCACTCTCGGCTGAAAGGAAATTTCATAACAGTGTATTGTTAGTGTTAGCACTAGCTGCACCTTGATATGGTTTATGTTTAGGCTCTCTTGCTATTCTTATAAAGAATTAGGCACAATTAGTCTAGTTTTGAAATTCTGAGAATCACAGTAAAATATGGAAAGTAAAATTTTCTGAAGAATTCACCTTAACATGGTCCAGCTACTTACAGCCTCTTTGCAATTGCCAAACTGGGTATATATATTTATTGATGGACATCTTGAAGTACTGAGAGGCTTCTGTTGTTGCAGTTGAGACTTCTGGTTGTTGCGGTTCACTTGAATAACAGGTATGTCTTTTATCAAATCTGAAGGATGCTTCTTTCCTCCCTTACTGTTCTCATCCATGGAAATATCCAAACCTGACTTTACTCTGCAGGCACCCTTGCAGAACAAAGGAGGAGAAAGTCATACTTCAGTGCAGTCTGTAATTAAATATGCAGATTGGAAAGTGGACCAAAAGTTTTGTGAGGAGTGGAATATATCATGATAAGATTTGATAGAAGGGTGAAAGGGTAGTCAGACTAGAAAAAGGTCTTCAGCCTACTGGTTTGAGGGACCACAACCAGGCTATTTTACCAAAATATCCTGGATGTGACAAAAATCAACACACTAGGCTCAGCTTTGCTGCACAGTTGTGTACTGCTTTTAAGGCTTGGGATTGGGCCCTGTGCTGCATTCTCAGGCAGACTGGGAAGATACTGAGAAATCTCAGCACATCTTGGGGAAAATTGCCTGTAGTCTGGATTAAGGCTGAGGCTGCAACTGACAAGAAAAATTATTCTAGACATAAATCCTCCAAAGTCTGCACTCAGCTCGGAATGTCTGTATGCATTTCCTGTCACCTTCTAGCTGGGGAGGGGATGAAAAGCCCTTACTTTGTTTTAATGACTTGTCCAAGGAAATAATAACAGCTGAAAAATATTACCAGCTGCTCCACATGTTCAAATCAAATCTGATGTGATTGAACAAGTTACTGAATTTGGAGATTCATGTGATTTTACACCTTGGTACTCTAGCTAAGAAACACAGACTTTGCAAGCTACTTTAGGCTAGAAAAATATCCAGACAGTTGGTCCTTCAAGAAGATGGAAAAAAGAAACTGTGCATGAGCAATGGAGAGGGTAACTGTGCTTTCATGTGACAGGAGAATGAGCCTGACAACTTCTTCCCATGTGTGCAAGGCCCAGCACAGAACCAGCAGCAACTGCTGCTGATGTTGCCATTGTCTTCATGTACCACAATGTTGTTTCTGTTGGGAACCAAGCGAGCTGTGTTTGGATATTGCTGTTGTGGTTTTTTAGGCTTTTTATAGAGTTCAGTGGCTCATTTTTCTGCCTGAAAAGCTAAATTGCAGTGCCAAGGCACTCAAAATGTTCCCTGTGCCACACTAATTTGACCCTCTAATGCATTATAACCCGGTATTTGACAGCACAGTCACATGCTGTGCTCTTCAACAAAGCCCCTGCCTCCTTTGATGTGCAAGATGAATGGTGTTCTGAGAATGCATTAGGTTTATAGTCAGAAAAAATACACCCAATGTTTTCCTGTATGTTGCAAAGGTTAGAAAGCTTGTAGTGGATGGCAGGGGAAAAGGGTTAACATTTTAATGTCCCTAAAAGCAAATTCTATTCTTGTCTTAGCTGTGGCACCTATGTGTTTTAAGACCAGTCACCTAACCTAAAAGTTTCTTGGCTCATCATGGTTATTATCTAAGGCTGAAATTTCAGAAGCTCAAAGCTCTCACAACCATAATTAAACCGTGCTTTCAGTGTACCCTCAAATGCTTAACTACTCAGAAAAAAAATAAGCTATTAGATTGGTTTTACAATTTAAGCAAAAACTCTGTCTTTTGGTTCATTAGTTATAAATTAATATGAATGGATGATGTTCTGAAGATAGATTCAGAAGGGGGCTTGAAGTATTCATTTGTTATTGGGAGGATACCATGAAAACAGGAATATAAAATTAACAGTGTTATACTTAGTTTATAGTTTGGATAGCATGTCTTAAAGAGCGAGAGATCCTGCTAAATATGGAGATACAAAAAAATTGTGAATACTAACTCGTTCATTGAATCCAGCACTGGAATGGCAAAACTGATGTGTGGTCATGTAGTGCAGGTGCATCATAGACAGAATTGTGTGGGAAAATAGCTTTGCTTTGTATGGTTTTCAAGAGTAGGAAATTTTTGGCATTTGCATTTGAAATGAAATCCCCAAATTTTGAAAGTCTGCCTTATGATAAACACTGGAAATTATACTGGTTTGAACCAATCAAGTTTTCATTGTGTATATACAGATTTAATTTCTTAACTTTTATATGCTTGATTTAAGATTCTTTTCAATAGTTTTCAGCATCAAATATCAGTTAAGTAGTTGACACTCTTCTTTATCCTATGAGGGCTTTAAAAAAATGGATAGTTTTATAGTGCCACAGTAAAAATCTGTTAGAACTTAATTACATATACAAAATATCAGGGAGTGAAGTGACTCAGTTGATTTTGGGACTATAATGTTGCAGAGTTTTTCTCCTGTAGTTATTGATCCTGTCTGTTACAACAGTTGCCACAAACTGAAGGACTCAGAATACCTCTTAAGAAATAAAAGGTAACAGTGCTTATCTTAATAAATAGCATTTGTTGGTTTTGCAGAAATAAATATTAGCTACAACACTTTCCAAATACTCTGTTTCTCATCTCCCAATAACGAGCTGTGTCAGGCTTCTGTTTTCAATTCTTCTTTGATGATACTGCTTCTTCTGAGGACTGGGACACAACCTATTTAGCCTTAGAGCAGTAATTTTCTTAAGTGCTGAGCTCTGGTATAAATATTCTCTCAATGAAGTCACTAAGAAGACTTTCATTCATTACAGTTCTTCTTTTGAAAGTCCAGCTTTTAATGTACCTTTTATAGTGACTCAGGCTGTTTTGTTTTGTTTTGTTTGTGAAGACGAAACAAATTTTTAGAAATAAACACAACAAGATGGCATGACTGAAGGTAATGACTCTTGTGAAAATATTTTTAGTTAGTATTTTACTACTCTGATTACAACTGCAGGAATGACTTATTAATAATTGTAGGCAGATATAAAGGAGTGAATTTTGTAGGAATATGTGAGAAAGAGAACATTAATGACTTAGAAATGGATCAAAGTCAGAATTGCAAATCCCCATTTTTGAGCATTTTCACTGAGAATTATGTATTCACTGCTGAGAATAGCTGTCAACATCCCAATTTAACAAGCAAAGAATATTTTAGAAGATATTTGGGGCAATAGTGAACTACTAAAAGAAAACCCTGGTTTAGTATACAGATCAAACTGCATTTGAAACATGTTCAGAATATTATTTCAGACCATTCTTTTATAGTATGTGTATTATTCAAATTATTTCTTTTCTAGATATGAGTAATGAGTAAAATAACATACATACATTTGGCAGTGCTTTCCTTAAAAATCTATGTAGTAACACTGATTTTTGAGGATATAAAACTGTCTCTTTACATGAGGTTTAGAAAGGGGGAGTTTTTTCTGCAGTTTATTCATATCAACTGAGTTTCTCTTTTGTTGAAATTCTAGTTATCTGTCTTTGAAGGCAAATGCACCGATACTGGCACTTTGAGAAGTTGCTATGATAAAAAAAGAAATGTGAAAAATTAACAAAAACAGCCACAGTCCTTTAACATAAGAAAAGAAATGGGCAACTTGTACACGCTCATATCTTTGAGCTATGTTTACTGAAGAGTGAAAGTTCATATTACAGGGAGCTGCTGATCTCCTTCCGAACATAGCTGGAGTATATTAAGAATGGCCCAACTAGCAAGAGCAGATTTTTTTTATTATTATTTTATTTTTTTTTTTATTTTCCAGATTGAAAGAAATGAGTAGGATTTATAATTGCAGTTGGCTGGAAGTGCCATGGGGAGATGGAGATTTAGGTATTGTATGATGATTTGTAACTTTTTTTTTAACTTCACTTGTTAATACAGTGAATATATTTAATCTTTCTTGTTAATGATTACAAAGCAATAATGCTTTGTAATAATTTGGCCTCCTGGTAAACTATACATCAGAGAACTTGGAACTAATGTGGCTTAGAGATCCTTTGTATTCTTCATCTGTCAGAGACAACATCAGTAGGGAACGAATATATTAACAATTTTGGAATAGCCTGTGTTTGCTAATACTGTTGTAACAGACACCAATGAATGAAAAAGTGTCCTTGTTTATATTCTTGCTAATGCCTTCTAAGTGAGAGACATAGTAAGTTTGTAGATTAGCAGAAGACAGCAATCTAGGCAAAGAATTTAAGACACCTTTGATGTTTATTTGTGATATTTATTCTTACCCCTGTGGTATTTAATAATTAATTACTATGTATACCAACCAATCAGTTGGAATCTAAATTTTTTTTCCAAACTTGGTTGGCACAAAATATTTCTGCTTATAGATTTTATTTGCAGAAGAGATGATACAAGCATTTTGTATTTAATGGGTTTACCATTAAATACATCTGGCTGACATAGATCTCTACATGAAGATAGTTTTATAAGGTAGGTGTATGTACCAAACAGAGGTTACAATGGGATCTGGCATAAATTTATTCTCAAATGTCATTGGAGTAATTAACAGACTTCTTCTGATCAATCCAAGAATGAAGGAGGTGAAGGAAAGAAAGGTGAAAAATTGTTGTTTTCAGATCCTACCTGCATCTTTGTTCTATTTATACATGGCTATAAAAATGTCTGAAGTGTGATTGTATTTAATGGACAGAAAAACTCCATGACGCAATTTTATAAGATGTTTTTCTATATAATTAGTTATGCTTTTTTCCCCCCATTGAGTAGGATAAACTGTCGAGAGAGACATGTTCTTGTATATAGAGACAGGGAGACAAAATACCAAAAGCAACCTCTAAATACAGATTTAAATCTTTTTTTTTTTTAGCTGCCAGCAGGAGAACTTAGTGGATCTAATTCATTTGAATTAGAACAAGTTGAGTGCTCATTCAAGTAATACTGCAGAAGAAGGAAAACATTGATCAAAATACTCATTGTGATTACACACATCGGTGTATTCTACTACAGTAGAATAAATCTATTTGAGCTTATTGGGATGACAGAGAAAATACTTCTATTTTGTCAAAATTGGGTCACTTTAATATTTCTGAACTCTGTTTTTTGTGGTATAATAACCCTTAAAATCCCAATCACTTTATGCGTGGGTGTTTTTAGCTGTTATTCTGACTAACAATAAGAATTTCAAAACATTACATTAAATAAGCTTGAAGTAGAAAATACAGGGAGCGATGTGTGTGCATGTGTATATATGTGCACACACATATAATAAGAACTTAGTGCAAATAATTCTGACAGAGTACTGGAAACTGGATCTTGCCAGTGGTCCATCTACTCTGGCAGATCAAAGAACACAAGGAGCTTCACACATACAGGATACTCTGACATAATAGAAATCTCCCTGCATTTTTAAAATCAGGTTTATAAAGCCTTAGTCTCATATTTTTTAACTTCCGTGATCAGATTTATGTACTTTTATGATAAATACTCAGCTGTGCTTTTGTTTTGCTAAGTTTTTGATCTCAATAGTGTTCAGTAGTGCTGAGTTACAAAGAGCAGTTATATATTCTCTAAGATGCAAATTTTAGTTTGCATTTATCTCTGTAAATTTTAGTTTCATTCCCTAACACCTCTAGGAAAATTGAGGTTTTATCTACATTTTCCTGTTGTGCGCTATTTCACATGTTTTTAACTATCCCTTAATTTCTTTTCAGGTTGAGCAGCTTTAATCTTTTTAGTCATTCTTCATGTGATTTCAGGGGGTTGTTTATAGTAACCAAAAGTGTACTTTCTGAAACAGGCTGGTGAACAGAAGGAGACCAATAGGAAACAGAAATAGGGTCTATTTCTGGTGTGTAGTTATCTTAGAGTTTGGACTGATAATTGTCAGTGATTGAGCAACAGCCTTCTCATTTAAGGTTAATTGCCTTGTCACTAAAATGCAGTAACTGGCTCTGTAGGCAGTTCCTGTCCATTGCAAGGGACAAAGTTGAAGACCTTTACGCATTGAAGATTCATCTGCCCGTGTTATCAGTTCATTATATTTAGTTAATTCTCTCTATGTTTCTTCAGGGATTTTGGAGGGCTTGATATAACTCACACGAGTGATTGTATTAGTATTTTACAGTTTTAGTGATTTTCTTCTTACAGGAAAAAATATCGGTAATTCATAATAAATTTTAAAGATGATTCTTCCTTGCACAGTCTGTCAAAACTCGATTTGCAAAATTCATTAAATAAATTGGTATCAGCTGTGCGTGCAAACCTGAATGGCTAGAAGGAACCTGTTCAGTATCCAATCTTCTAGAGGAAAGGGCAGGTGCCTCACCAAAAGCTGCAGGATGACTCTGGAATCTAGGCTGGGAGTTACGGGGGGTATGTGTGTGAAGACTGGGTTGTTGTTGTGTTCCTGTTTTGTTTTTCTCCTTTCTTTTATGAGGGTGATAAATAAATGCCAAACTTTTACAGTAAGCATATCTAATTGTTTTTAGGTCTAATAGCTTATGGAATGAGAACTTAGACTTAATATCATATTTCTACTATAGTAACTTTTTTAGTGTGGTTCTCACTGTATTTCTCTACTTGCAATAGTGTAGTAGCTGCAAATTAATCTCATCATACACAGGGATTTCCACATTGATTTTCATATACATCAGTTTCTTCATGACTTCTTCGGGCGGGTTTATGTCTGGTTTAAGGTCAAATAAGCTTATATATCAGCTACAAAAATAAGTTATATTATTTGTATTAAAAATAAACAATGCAAAAATAGAAGTGGAAAATATAGTAATTGATGAATTTATTAAGTCAGATTAATGAAATCAGTATCTCAATATTTTATTATCTGTACCTCATAATCATTTATTAGAGATGTTTACAGTAAATAATAGAGCAGGTTTTATTGTTTAGAAACTGATAATTTGAAATATAGTCACTAAAGAGGAAAAATTAATGTCATAGGACAATTGACTTCGTTCTGTGCATTATATTTTCTACCTTGCTCTATGCATTCCAAACCCTTTGTAATTCCCATGGTTTATTCAATAAATGTTGTTCTTATATAGGTTCTTGGGCAGATCGCTCACCTCTGCATGAGGCAGCCAGCCAAGGACGTCTTCTTTCTCTAAAGACTTTATTGTCACAGGTAAAGGCTGTGTTCTTACAGTTATTTATTTTTAATGTTACTTAATTTCTCAGCATAGATTATTAATGCAAATTTAGTATGCTTTGTTTTGCTTTTTTTCACTTGAATTTTTCAGAGCAATACACATGTAGGAATTTTTCATATTAAAATATATGTTAGTATTTAAAATATTTCCTCTGTATATTTTAAAGTCTCCCCCCCAAAAAAAAATTATGAAAATTGTGACTAAATGTATGTTAGTCTTCCCCTCTTGCATGGTATAAATTGTTGTAGTTCCACTGCTTTAAACTGCTTTGAATAAATAGAGCTAGTCAGGAAGATACTAGGTAATGAGAAGAATCACTGAAAGATTCTGGGTTTTGCATAGTTGTCATTTAAGAAAAATAATATTTAATAGTGAAGGGAGAGACTCAAACTGCTAAATTTCAATATTACAGTACTGTCCTATCAGCTATTTTAATACTGCATAATTATACTATAGATCCCTATTAGTTCTTAAGAATCAAACAACATCAACTGCAGAAAACTTCAAGGGCTTGATGATTTTATCAATCCAATGAATGTTTTCCTTGCTAAAATTCATGGCTTTGGATATTTCAAAACTTAAGTCAGAGGATCATTGAGTCACTGTAGAGTTTAGACTCAGGTCCTTGTTGTGTTTCAAAGATCACCAAGAGCGGAGATGCACCCCTGTTCTGGGGTTTCACTGTTAATTTTTTTCCATATAACTAATTGGAATTTAGCATGTTCCAACTTGGGTCTGTTGTCTTTTGCCCTATCACTGTGCATCTCAACAGTCTGTTTCAATCTTCTTTATACCCTCTATGTCCTATGCCTATTTCTAATTAAAAAAAAAAAAAGAAAAAAAAAAGAAGAGTTGAGAATTTACTTTTATTCTGTTATACACTGATTGATGAAAGATTCTTTCTATGCTCATTGAGGATTTACTTATTACAAGTTCTGTTTTAAGCCTATTTAGAATATTTTAAACTATTCATTTGAACAGTAGTGTGAGGGACTGACTCTTAATAGCTTTTGTATGATCTTTAAATGTCATTCACATCTATTTTAGGGGTACAATGTAGACACACTAACAATTGACCAAGTAACTCCACTTCATGAAGCCTGCCTGGGAGATCATGTAGGATGCGCAAGAATCCTCCTTGAAGCAGGAGCAAATGTAAGGCTTTGGGTTTTGGGTTTTTTTTAGCATGAAGTCCAATGCTAACCTTGGTTTAACTGAGAAGGATATATTCCTTGATTTTTATTTTTGATTGGTATTTCCCTCTACTCACCCTATTGGTTGTGTTCATCTCATTTATTTACAAAAAGCTACCATCTGAATGCTAGCAAAAGACAGTGATGGGCGGACACTGAGACAGAGTAATGAAGTATTCATCAAGTGTTTCTAAAATATGGAATGCATTTCTCTCCTCTACTGGATTCCTTTTTGCTTTGAGTGGCTTTCAGGAGACTGTTCTTTTAATCATCAGAATGTCTGTTGTCACACTACACCTGTGTGCACTTAAAATTCTTTGGTCTGAGTACAAAAAAGCACTGCCTCTTTTCTGTACTGACATAGACTGTCTTATCTTTTATCCCAAAACAAAAATGGGACTTTATAGATCACTTTCACTACAATTCCTGCTGACATCAGAGTTCAAATGCATACCTTCCCAAGTCTCTGATCTTTGTAATTCAAATATTTACTGTCCTTACAAATTCAGGTTTGAAAACCGTGTAGAATATATCTATGTTATAACAGAAAAAAAAAAAAAGATACATAGATGTTTCCAAAAACAATGCCTCTCCACTTTACCTAGCACAAGGATTCTAAAGATAGAAAACTATAGACACTATAGAAAAAACTATAGGAAAAAATTTCATTTTCACACCTGATTTATTTTTAGTACTTTTAATTGGTTTGGTGGGTTTGAGGGTGTACGAAAGATGATAGGCCAGAGTCCTGGAAGGAGCCCTCTCCTAATACCTGTGCTCCTTCCTTTAGTATTATTAGCCCTCACAAAGTTGCCTAGTTTCTCTCCTTCTTCTCTCAGACTGGAAATACTCAGTTAACCAGTGCGGTGATGAGGTTGGTATAAAAACAGTGAGCCTGTGCTATTAGCTTTGCCTCCATCCTGTGAAATATCACTCCAACCTGGAGCCTAAAACTACAGAAAAAAATGGCAAATAATTCTCACATTTAATATGGACTTGCCAGAGCTGCAGAGAGAAGGTCCCTGTTAACGTGTTACTACCAAAGTGTAGATTTTCTGTATTAGTGAAACAAGCTCAGTGCAATGACTTTTGAAAATTATTTACTCCCCAGATATCAATGTGTGCTCTTTAGTATTCCAGGTGTATTTTAGTTTATTCAACCTAGTTTAACAAGAATATTAGTAAACTAATCTCAAATGAAGGGTGTGGTATGAGGAAGACAGTAGGACAGGGACTGGTCAGTTGAGCTATTATTCTAACTAGTATCTTTTTTGTGTGTGTGTTTTAATGCAATTTCTAACTATTTCCTGTTTAAAAATCTACCTTTCTTTCAATTCTGTTCTTAAATAGATTATATGTATTCTAGGTAAATGCCACAACAATTGATGGAGTGACACCTTTATTTAATGCCTGTTCGAGAGGCAGTGCAGCATGTGCTGAGCTCCTGTTACAGTATGGTGCCAAAGCTCAGTGGGAGTCCTGTCTGCCTTCACCAACTCATGAAGCAGCCAGCAGAGGTAAGAAATTACCTGCTGAATAAACATGGGGCAGTTGACCAATATCTCAGTAACAGGGTTAAGAAATGTGTGAGGTTTTGTCTGAGACAGCTTACTGAAGTTGAGCAAACTCTGTCGTGCTTTGTACTGACAGGTCACAGTGAATGTCTGGAGGTACTGATATCCTGGGGTATAGATGTTGACCAAGACCTTCCTCATTTAGGAACACCTCTGTATGTAGCTTGCGTTTCACAGCAGATCCACTGCATTCGAAAGCTTCTTTATGCAGGTATGTAATGATTTAAATAAAAATATTACTAGTCTGTAAAATCAGCATACTCTACTCACCTTTAAAGTTAGCTCTGCTGAGTCATTGGAACTAGAACACTTCCTTGCAGGGCTCTACTTCAAATGTTATGCTGTGATGCGTGTTTTCTTACAATAAATTACCGTGTCTTTCTTTTTTTGGTGATATAGTGAGTGTATGACCAAAAAAGGAAGCAAGACAAGTAAGAATGGATGTTCAAAATTTTTAGTACCTACTACAGATTTGTAGCTATTCATTTTCTGTAGGAAAGACAAGGATAAAAAATCAGCTTTGAAATCATTGAGATTTCAACAGAACTATTTTAGCAATGTAGTCCCACTTTCTTTCATTCTTCAGAATATTCTGTTTGATCTTTTCACAAGGCAGAGAGGCTGAGTAGCAGAGGGAAGAGGTAAAAGGTAATCGATCCTAAATTTCACAAATTTCAAAATAACAAATTTCCTAAATTTCGTTATTTATTTAATCAACTGGAAAGAGATGTTGGAGGCTTGCTCTGTTTTAGTACAAGCCCAGGGACACAATGGGCATAGCTACAGGATCATTTGCTGTGCTTCAGGTAATGACATACAGGGCTCTCATGTCCTGTAGCACAATGAAGGAAAATATATATATAAGAATAATTCAGCCTTGCTATCATTGCACCAGAATTGTTTTTCTAGCTGATTGCATGTTATATTTAGAACTTAAACAGCTAAGTTGTTTCTCATTGATTCAGTCTCTTTAGATGATTAACTATCCTATGTCATGATTTTTCATATTTAAGAACAGCAAAAGTATAATTAGCATATTTGGGGATTCAGATACTACCATACATAAAAAAAAGCAATAGAATGGCTTATTCTACATATTTTGGCTCCCTGGAATAGAAAAAGGATATGTAAACTGAGAACAAAAGTAACTACTTAAGTAAGTCTGAATTTTTTCATATTTTATTGGTTTGTAAGAATGTATTAGAAGTTGGAAAGCAAATAGACAATGAAATAAGCAAGAAAATGGTACTGCAGGAGTATTCTCAAATTGTTACTATTGAGAACAGTGAGTTGTTCAGACTTCAAATCTAATTGCTAGGCCTGTGACATTAATAAATTATTTTACTCAAAAGGGAATTTAAAAGGCAAAAAGTGTTGTTTCAGGGAGTAAAGTTGGTACACAAGCTTATTTTTGGTCTCACAAGATCAGCAAATCTCTCTTAAGAAGTCTGGGATTTATTCTACTAGAATAATCTAGAAAACTGTTGGGGCAAACTCAGTTTTAGGGGGTCTATCATCTTGACTGTAAGGGAAATTCTTTCATACTGGCTGGTTTGGTTTAACTCTTATATGGATTTTTTTTCTTGAATATGAATGCATTACTGCAAATTAATTTAATCAATTTTAATTTAAAATAAGTTAATAATTCTTTCTGAATACAAAAGTGTAATAATTAGAATTCCATGATTGAGAGAATTAATAGTACAGGGGTTTTTTCCCTATTAGATTTCTTGACTGTGTATCCTACCTTAATTTAAATTAAGTCATTTATAGATAAATCCTTGATAAAGGTTGGATGGGATGGGGAGTCTATTACAAACCCTTTGCCAGCTTCAACACATGAAAAACTATAAAGCAGCCTTTTTGAGTTGGTGTACCTATAAAAATATACATACAAAACCTCAGTTTAGTGATTTTTTCTAAATATTCAAATAAGGAAAGTATATTTTTATGTAGTGCAAATTTTTGTAAATGTGTACAAAAAGTACTTTTTTATAATTAGGGCAACAATGATGCTCATGTGACCTGATTTGATTTTTCTTTTTATCTGGTTGTACTTAGGTAATAAACCATAGGATAAAAAACCCTGTATTGATGTGTTTAGCTGTAGTTCTATGCAATGGGATTAATAAAGTGGCTAAATGCACTGTGGCATTCTAGGACATTCTAGGACAGTGGGGTTTTTTGTTTATTTTGTAGCTGCATTTTTACTCAATGGCAATTTTAATTAATCTCTTCTGACATCTCTTTATGTGCATCTACCCACCAGGTGCCAATGTGCAGAAAGGAAAGCATTTGCAAACTCCACTCCATGCTGCTGCCCAGCATTCTAGTACAGAGATCGTAAACTTACTCCTTGAATTTGGGGCAGACATAAATGCCAAAAATTCAGATTTTGAGAGGCCTGTTGATTTAGCTGCTCCTAGCAGTTTAGTGGAGAGACTGCTGCTCTTCCATGAAGGTAAGTTTTATCTGTGTGTTTTTGCAACTGTAACTTGTATTATTAAAAAAACCCCCTAAACCCACCCAAAAAAACCCCAACTCAACAACCCAAACAACCCATGTTATAGATGTTACATTGTGCTGTATTAAATGAATATATTAGCATTCAGGTAATTTCCTTTTTAACTATAAAAATACTCAGGAGTATTTAGTCTCAGGCTAGATAGAGCCCATTTACCAAGCAGCATCAAAATTTATACAAGCTGAACAAGTATCATCTTATGTTTTTTGGGTGTTTGCACAAGTCGACATTTAAAGCTACATTTTTATTGGCCATTACAGACCTTATTAAAAAGAAACCAAGTATTTAAATTTCAGATCAAAAATATATTTCATTTTGGTCAGCTGTCAAAATATCTTTAAAAATATATTTTTAAGTGCATATAAAGGACTTTATTTTTATTGTGGGCAAAAAGTATAAAAAATTTCATTTTCTAAATTTTCTTTATGAAATTATAAGAACCTGAGAAATAGGAGTTGACACTCAAGAGTCACTCAAAACTCTTAAAGGTCTGTTGCCTTGGAGAGAGAATATTCCTAAGGGAACTGGATTTGTTCAGACTGACCTATGTATAATGTAAAAATAAGCTACAGGAGAAAAAAACTATTTCAATAACTGTGAGCATCTCTTTAGAGGTGAACTTAAGGAAACAACTCTGTAGTCTGAATGCTGTTAACAAAACCCCTCTAAAACCTTTAGGTTTTCACAAATTTACCAAGACTAGTAGTATTTTTGAAAGTCATGGCAAAGATGTCAAAAAAATTTACTTGGCAAGAAACAAATATGGGTTTATTGTCCAGAGAAACAGCAATGTTCATTTTGAGGGAGTGGGGAGCAGAGGGATAGAGGCGTTATGATGAGCTAGTAAGATCACTGAACGTGAACCAGGGGCTTGGGGTATTTTGGCTGCTTATTCTTGATGCAGTGATGCATCAGGAGTGCAGCTTGTAGTGCCATAGCAGGTATGTCATCTGTTCTGTGAATTTAAAAAAACAGCAACCTTGCAGTTTTTAAAATTATTTTCTGGGAGCAGGCTTTTAATTTAAAAACACTGAAATTTAAAAACCTTGCTTTTTTCAGTATTACCCTAACTATGAACAAGGTTTTAGCAGCCCCAGTCTTTATCTTTGAGGGTAGAAAGGCAATGAAGGAAATGAAGAAAAAGGCCAAATTTGCAAAATGGGAACATTTTTTTAAAGAAATCCCATTATTGTGCAAGACTGCTGTAAAACTAAGTCCTGGCTTTTATTGTTGTGCAATTAAACTTCCTTTATCGTTTGCAGCCACACCATCCTCTCTGTGTCAGCTCTGCCGACTACGTATCCGAAATTACATAGGAAGAGCTAGACTGCATCTTGTTCCACAGCTCCAGTTGCCAACAATACTGAAGAATTTCTTACAATACAGATAACATAGTAATTAAGTGTTAGAAACTTAAATAGCAAGTACTTTTTCTTCTCTCTGTTTATTGTACATTTTATCTAAAGAACTGCTGGGCGGAAAAAGAGCCTTTTGCATATTGCTTAAAAAAATTGTATCTTTGACATCTGGTGTTGGTAATGTAATAGTAACTGGGAGCCATTCAGCAACTAGTACCATGGTGCTAATAAAGCTGAATTGAATAAGTGTGCTGATACTCTGGGACGTGATTATATAGCTTTACCTTAATACTCAATAGCTTTAGTGCTGTTAATTTTGTGTTTATATTTTTAAAATCTCTTTGACACACCTGAACCACAAAGAGTTTCTTCATTATTATCTGTTAAGTTTGTCCATTTGGAGTCAGTATTGTATGTGTTTTTAAATTTCTATTGTTCATGTATCTAAAAATACTTGGTGATAGGTGCGCTATATACATTGATAAAAATAAAATGATTGGATGTCATTTTTTTCTTTTTCTTTATATAGATGATTAATTAATGAAGAACTTCCTTTATTCTTCCTCACTGCCTGTGCTGTGAAATGGAATTAAGCTGCTGTGAACATGATCTCCGTTTTTTATAGAATCTCTGTTTATTGATACAATTCATAGCTTTAAGAATTCCAGAGGAATATTTCTCAAAAGCCTTAATGCTGAGGTACTTTTGATCTCCTCTTGTAAAACAAAATCATATGGGCTCTTTCCTTATCTTTTCATAACAATGCTGTATCACAGCTCATTGGCATATTAAATAATTATTTGCCTCAGGGAAAGGCATACTTTAATGTGCAGTATTTCTATGAGGTTTCTGAAGGCATATTGTGGAGATGTGGATAATGAATCTTCAAGCTAAAGTTCAGGAGGTGAATTTGAGGTTCCAGAAATACATCAGTTCTCCATATCAGGAGGGTTATCACTCTTGAAAGGACATTATTTCTCTTGCTGTCTGGTTTATAAACAATTACCCAGCACCAAAAATCATATTGCAAAATCCTAGAATGCTCTAGCAGGCATTTCTGTGAACAGGTTCAAATTTTATTGTTCAACTCCAGCCAGAGAAGGAATGCTGACACCCCCAAGAGACATTAGAAAACCTCAAAGATTTCTGCCTTGCTCATGCCCTTGCATTTTGGTGATTGCCTGTCTTGTCAAAAAATGTGATCTGACTACACTGAAATGCAGTGCTCCTCCTCTCAGTCTTCTCATTTGGTGTTCCTTTGAGAACAAATTACACTCTCAGTGACTTATACTCAATTCCTGTAAACCAAAGCATAAGACACCTGGTAATTTGCCACTTGCCCTTGGTGATTCACCCTATTCCATTCCTTTTCAGTGACTCCTTTCAGTATTTATGTTCCTACTGGAAAGATACTAAGTGAGGAACTAACTATAGAGGAAGCTTTCACAAAGAGGAATGCTTAGTCAGTTGCTAAATTATATCCACCCTAATAAAAAATGCAGCTGTCCAGCACTTGCCCTTGTTAAATAATCCTAGTTTTCTTCTGTTCCCTGCAAAAACTCTAGTTAGGGGTCTCTTCTGAAGTCCCTGTAAAGAAAAATCAAATGCAAGTAAGAGGAGCTGCTTAGGAGTCCATAACATCCAGACTGTTATGGAGTGAGTTGGGTGGTTTTGGTTTCCATCAAAACCTAGCAATTTGTGTTTTTATGTACAATACCAGTACTGTGTGTTACTTCGACAAACAAGCCAACTTCAAACCGCCAAGCCAACCATGGCACTGCTGAACTTCTCTATGTAGAATGAGATAATTTAGATCCTCCCCTTCGGGTGTCCTCAGTGCTTTTCAAGTTTGACTCAGACAAAGTGTCAAAAAAAGCTCTCATGTTCTATAAGCTCAGTTTTGAGCAAGTGTGGCTACTCTGCAAAACACCTGTTCAACACCACAAGATAACATGAGAAGTTTTGCTGAGAGTCATATAAGAGTCGAAGCCATCTCATTGCAAATAGTTGTGTTTGTGCTCTTGAGGCATTTGCAATATCTATTCCCACCGATCCTTGCCACTATCCAAAGAGCAAACAAAGACCGTTTCTGGAGTATACAGGTATTTGGTACTGCTTTTCCTGTAATTCTACAGAAGGGTAGACTAGTCAGAAGAAACTGGCTTATGGTAATATTATGACTTGGATCTTGGGCAAGATGCATTTCTCAACATAAACTTTTATCTTTTGCTACCAAATAATTATGTGAAAATGCGAGTCATTTTGGCAAGATAAGCCAAGTGGGTGGGGCAGTGCTTCTGTTACTATGTAACAGGGACAAACAAAAATAGGAAATGGATGTTGTTGCCCTGGCAGGACTATGCACTGCAACAGGTCTCAGGCAGATCAGAGCCTGCTAATGCCACATACCAAAAATACCCAGCAATGAAATACCTGACGTTAGTATTTGATAAAATCTCTTCCAAAAATTATCCTTTGTTTAGCCAGAAATGAAAGGAAACAGGTTTCTTACTGTTTTCATGCTGTGAGGGCCCTATTCTTAGTATGAAATAAATGCTAAGTTATGTAATAAAATACTAGGAATCAGGAGCTGAAGCAAAAAAAAAAAAAAAATTACCCATATCAGAGCACTGTTTAAGACCACTACAGCACATCCAAGTTTGGAAGAAGCATTCTTTACAGGTTGGAATAGCTCTTATTATATGAATTTTTAGACTACTAAAACAGTATCACAGGACATTTTAATTAAAAAAAAAATAGCGTAATATGCCAATTCTGGAAAGCAATCCAACAGTGAAATCCTACAGGCATGCTCAAAAAGCACTCCTGAGACAAAAGAGGCTGCGAAAGCACAGGGAAGGGGGGGCTGCAGGGGCTGCTCAGCACCGTCCAGCCCAGCCCGGGCCTCGCTGCGGCCGTGCCTGGGGGGCGGCTCCGGGCCTGGGCCGGCACGGCAGCCCCACACAGGGTATAACAACGTGTAAGTAAAAGCCACAAAACACAACGGCTGTATGCAAAATTTTCACTAAATCAGAAAGTGTACTTCATCTCATCATATGCTGACTTATGTGCAAATGCATGCTGGTCCTCAGCACTGCTGTTGTGAATCTGCTGCCTGCTCCATGTCTTTTGTAATTTTTATCTGGAGCAAAGATGATCCTGGATTTCATTTCCTTCCTACATAAACATGTAACTTCAAGTTTTTAAGAAAACCTAATGCCTATTCTGAAAAAGGTTTCTAGACTCTCTGTTTTCTGTGTTAAGAATGGAGTTTCTTTCATTAGTGTAATCTTAATTTGTAATTCTGGATTGAAATTATTTTACCCAATGAAGAAGTCCAACAACATGGATTTAAAGTGTCACATCTCATATCTCAGACTGCAGCTGCCAGTGAAGCTGTCCGTGAAGCTTATAAACATGTCAGTAATGTTGGACAGATTCTTTCAATATAACAATGGATTTAGTTTGGGGGAATAAAGTGATGTTAAATTTAACTGAGATTTAATAGTCATTGGAAAGCACTAGCTGTATAGCTTGATACATTTCTTCATTCAAATGGAAATAAGACTTTCACAGAAGAGTCAAACAATAATTTGAAGACAAAGTATTCTTTAATATTAAGGGAGAAGTATCTGTATTTGACTTGCTGTGCCAGACAATGAAGTCACATATTAGCAAACAATCTGAAATTAATTATGAAAATGATGAATTCATAGTTTGACAGTTGCAACCACAGCTGTAGCAGTAGACACAATTACAACCTTTTCTGCATATTCCCCTCACTCAACACATGGGGTACAAACAACTACAAGGAAAATGCAACCTCATGTTATTCACAATGACTGTTTCCTGATTCACCCCAAATATAAAAAACGCCCTCTGACTTAATTTTTATATTTTAGCAATGAAAGAATTCCTAACCCTCACATTCTAAAGAGGGAGCAGATTTGCCCAAGATTCCATGTTAAGGCACAATTTATGTGCAACACATTGATGTAGTTATACTACACATTGTAAGTTATTTAAACTTTGAAATATTGGTAAAAGTCCTTATGATACAGCAAAAGATTTTAAATATAGTAGAATGGCAGTTGAGTCAATCCTTCAGATTCCAATCACCAGACATGGGGCTGCATGTTCTTACCATTGCTCTGCACCTCTGCATTTATATATCAGGTTATACAACTTATGTGCTAAAAGACAGCTAGTCTTTCATTTGACAGAAGCAGATATCAGATACTGACTGATGGAAAATTATTTCAAAAACTACAAATTTTGACTTCTGAAACCCAATTCTTCTTTGCCAAGCTCCATGGAGTTAAAAAAAGGAAAATCATCTTCCAAAGAATACCTGCAGATAGTAAAACATTCTGTTCCAGCATCCAAGTACATACAAAAATGGGGGTTTCTAGGCTACAAAACAGCTAAGCCTTGCCTCTCCCCCTCCAATTTATTCTTACACCAGAAACCCTGTAATATACTCTAGAGCATTGCCAGAATGAAATTTTACCTTTTTAAAGAGGGGGAAAAACAACCTTGTATTTTTTTATTTCTAGTCTCCATCCCACCTTTCCAGCATGGTGGCATTGTTATTTCTAGTTAAATGAGGGCATGGCTTACCTCTGTATTGAGGATTGTCTACAGGGTCTGATAAATACCTGCTATTATTACCAGTTTTACAACAGTTTCTATTGAAATAATTCTGCCAATTTTTAATTGCAACTTCTTTACATTTCATGTAATTATCAGGATTTTAAATAAATTTTAAAATTTATTTTAAAGCAGCAGCAAAAAAGGTAACATCAGATAAAGTAGATTTCTGCTTAAGTGCCAGCAATTAAACTAATAAGGAATATTGTAACCAAGGCATCTTTTCTACAGGTAATTCTGATTATAAGAATTATTAATAATAAATAAGTATAATATTTTCCTTATAATTAAATTCCATACTATACACAGCTTTAAAGTTTAAATATTCTTAGTGTTCTATTGCCATGACTAGTTTTTTCCATTTGAGCACAGATTTAGTAAATAAAAATATATATGCACAGGTATTTACTTCTGGTTTGTCATAATATATGCATGTTTATAACTAATACAAAATGTAAAAAGAAAACAAGTATTTTAAATATATATATCACAGTTAAATAATTGCAATAAATTTGCTGTTTGTTCCTTACAAACCCTTTGTTAAAAAAAAACAAACAGTTTTATAAATACATTTTAGCCTCCAGTGAAAATATAAGGGGGACAGTTGCTGAAAATGATCCTATTAGAAAATAGAATTTTGTAATGTAGATATTCAAAACTGTCTAAACAAAACATAAGTAAACTGCTATTTGTACTGCTAATAAGCACAATAACAAATGGATGAAAAAAATAATCTACTCTTTAAATTTTACTTTTACTATAGAACCCTGTGTGTAAAAATTAGTTAAAATTAAAAAGGGGGACACAATGTGTGAAAGAGCCACAGTATTCCAGTCCTTCTAAAAACAGGTTGCAGTAGGTATCAAGAAAGTTATTCTATTATTATGTATTTGTAAGTGTGTTTATGGATTTCACAGTTTGTTATCAATATTTTGATAATGTGCAGATAGTTGCTTACTCCCTTTACAAGGCATCTATTCACACAGAGTTGACTAAAATATGTCTGTATTGTCTGACAACACTGTTCTTACTGAAAAAAAAAAAGACATGGCTGTATATGAAGTTAGGACTTTTTCTTTGGATTATCAAATAACTTTTTTCTTTGGATTTTCAACAAACATTTGTATAGAAATTCTTTTCTTGCTTTCACTTTACAATTTTCAAAGTTCAAGTACTTGCCCTTCCAACTACCACTTTCTGTCCTTTGATCAAGGTTAAATCAGTATTAACCCCCAGAGTGTTATTTTAAGCACTATAAAGTACAGAGGAAACACCTCATCAAAATGGGTTAAGTCGTATTCCTGTTCCTAGTGGTGAAAAAGGATTGACTTTGGCCCACATCAAAGCATCATTCAGTGAAATAGCAGATTTTCCATCTTCAAGGAAGAACACTGGACCCTGTACAGCAAAAATGTTTGGAGAGGGAAAGAAAAAGAAAGCACACAGGTATTGTGTAAAAGCCACCACAGCAGAAAGCACATTTTATCAGAGAAGAACACAAAAGTCTTCTTTACAACTAACCTTCATGCAAAAAATTGTACCCCACCAACTTACAACTTTGATAACAGTTACACATTATAAATTGAGTGAACTTGCTATGTTCCCAAACCTGGCTACGCAACACTTAATAATATTTAAATTTTTAGTTTGATATTTAATAATATATTTTACTATTATTACATATATGCTTGTCAATTATTCCAGTGTTTAATTTAGCCTGATTTAGAAACAGAGGTAACAAGCTTTCTTCCGTCGTAATACTGTCCATGCTTCATGGTGTCTGTCATAATCTGTGCTGATCTGTGCTTTTTCCTATCTACAAAAAACCCCAATATAATGCATCCATGAATTGTTTGAAAACATGGAGTCTACAGAATAATTTCAAATGCTCACTACGAAAAGGAAAAAATACTCATTTATCTGATGGAAGAAGAGCTATTTGGCAATTTATTAATTTGATGAAATCTGGTCTCAAAGCTGCAATTCAGTTTAAGCGCTTTCAGAAAGGGTTGAGCTCTCCAAACTTGCTACTTAGAACTTGTAAACCCAATGCAATTAGGCTGCTATACACCTTAGTATTAACCAAGTGATTTGTGAGCTGATCTGCATGCCTAAAGCAATGACTCCTAATGTACACTAATCTGGAAATAAGGATATTGTAGATGACAAGATGGTGACACCATATTTGTTATGCTTGTTGAATGGATTATAACAATGGCAGCTTTATGTGGCTGTTAGCAAATGTTGAGAGCACAGCCATAGCCAGAGACCACTGATCTAATGTGAGTGTTGACAGCAAGTTTTTTTTTTGATTGATGGGGTGCAACTGTAAATTTTGTTTACCTCAAAAATCCCACTAGCATTTTGCAATGTCCAATTTCTGACACAAAACTATCCTTCTTAGTCCTGGAACCACCCTGTTAGTCTTTGGGTTGGCATCTTGCACTGGACAGAGGAGACAGTATCACCTAAGAGAGTAAATTCACACTGTGGCACTACCTGGACATGGGAGTAGCGTTTTCAGGATCTGCCAATTTTCTCTTTATTGAAATAACAACATATACCAAAGAGGCATTATAAGGACTAATGTGCTTCAATCATAAAGCTCCATATGAGTGATGAATAAATATCTTTGATGATATCTTTGATCAAATATCTTTGAATATTTAGTCTGCTAATATCTGGCTTTAATTAGTCACGAATTGCAAGTTTTATAGTATGTATTTCCATAGTGATAAATACCAACACCAGAAAAATGTTAGTATGTGTTTGAAGATAAATAATATCCTGGCTTTTATTCAAGCTGTGGTGAGGTAGTAGGCAATAATTTACATGCACTTCAGGCAGAACATCTGGCAAAGGAATTTCACGTGGAAATTAAAATGTTTTGGATTTGGGAAATGACAATTATTTGATTGGACAATTCTTTATGCAGCCTTTCTTATATAGCAGATGTCAGCATTTGTCATCTTTAACTCTGCTACCGTGAGAACAGGGTAAACATTTTTCCTCCTAAATGATGGATGTGACCTTAGATTTATGGCAGCCTCACAACTAGTCAATGCTATCACCAAGAAATAACACTTCAGCTCTCTGAAGCCATACCTGTATCTTTAGCCCTGTCAAACAAGAGATATGAACATCTGAATGACTAGGAAGATTTGATCCAGTGACACAGTCTGGCCCAACCATTCCTTTCAGAGGCTCCTCCTGAATTCGTGATACGAGCAGTGAATACACCGCTCTCTGTGATTCAGATGGTGGAGTGCATGGCAGTTCATCGCCAGACCTAAGAACAAAAGATATTTGGTTTTCAACTATACTTCTTAATTTGTTTTAGAAATTAAGAGCCACAAAGCACTTTTTTTTCCCCCCAGTCATATTCATATTTTACAAAGGAAATAAATTTACAATTAAACAGTTAAATACTACCAGTCTCACTCATGGTAATTTTATAGTTTTCCACCTACTTGTTTAATTGTGTGCAAGCTCTCCATGCATCTAATTCCTCAGAAAGCTGTTCAATTTTCAAAGGTACGGATACTTCTCGTCTTTTTAAAAGCTGACTGAAAAGAAATAAAAGTAATTAAAGTCCAAATTAATTCTAACAATTAGTATTTTCTTAGAAGCAAAACAAGACAGACATTAGTAATAAGAAATTATTTCTGATTGGATATGGAAATAACTTGATGGAAATAAATTGATCCTTCACAATAATCATTATATTAAACCTTATAAATATTAAGAATAGATATAAAAGTATACTTTTTCATTTAAATCTTATTTTAATTATTCCTATTTACACCTTCCTTACTTAGCTCTATTTTTTTTAATTTGAGGCCGTTCTGTATCTTAAGGCTATATGTGTTCTTATTTCTTAATAATGTCAACTTCACTAAAATTAAGAACATATTTTGCCTATATATAGTAGATATGGTAAAAATACAGTTAGAGAAACATGGTTCAACACATGCTTTGGGACAGCCTGGTTTTACTTGTGGAAAACAGTTTCAAAACCCTTGCAGTGGATGCATTTTTATTTATCAAAATATAAAATAAGGGACAGTTACTACCTCACCTAATTCAGCCACCTTTCATTTGTGTTGGGATGCCATAAAAAGTCTGGCTTGTATGCAAGCATGTAAGTGTCTGATTTAAAATGTGCTGGAATTTAAAAATCCACGAATCCTGAAGATATTGGGCAATCCAAGAATAAAACTTAGAGCTGTATTGTTCTGTGGTTCTTTATATCCTAGGAAAATTGAAAGCTTGACAGCCAAAAGTATAAAAAACTGAGTCTCAAAGACCGCGTATTATTAGTCTGTTAATATACATATCAGAATAGTCCTTCTGTAAAAGCTTGTATTTCATCTTTTTATTTCTGGAAGTTCAGGAAAAAACAAAACAAAACAAAACAAAAACAACAACAACAAAAAAATGCTCTTTTTCCTTTTTCCCAATCCTCTCACCAAGTTTCGGACATGAGGATGGCTAAGAGGAAAGACATATTAAGTTGTTTAATTATCCTCGATAGGATAGGTCACAATTCTAGTGAGGTGTGAAAGGACTGAACAACATATACACAACATTTATTCTTGATGAAGAGATAAAGGAGCTGAAATTATTAACAAAGCTGCAGGGGTCCCTTAGAGCAGTTACTGCAGGAGTAACCGCTGGAATAATGTCAGCACAGCTTTCACTATGAAATCAGTGGCACCTTGGAGCTGGCCTTGCTACTCAATAAGTTAGGTGACAAAACCAAGAGGAATTGACAGCCCCAACAGTGAAGGAGAAATGGAAATATGTCAGCTGGATATCATTACTGAACCAGACAGGAAGACTAAACAATTGTGGTTATACTCTGAGAAAGGAATACTAAAGTATTCCATCTAAGTCTACTTTATTTACCATATAAGATAAAGATGATTCATCTTAATCTTTCTGTTTTCTAGTCCAAGTTAGTTGGTTCAAGTTCAAGTGGGGTCAGATGAAGTCAGGTGTACCAAGTGAAATCAAGCAGGTCAGGTTGAGTAGGGTCAAGTGAGTTGGGCCAAGCCAGACTGGGCTGGGTCAGACCAAGTCTGGTCAAGTCAAATGGACAAAGTTGGGTCACATGTAGTGGTTGAGGTCAGGTCAGGTCAGGACAAGTGGGTCAGGCTGAGCTGATTCAAGTCAGTCAAGTCTAGTCAGGTGGGCCTAGTCCAGTCAGATATGGTCGGGTGACCAGTCGGGGTTGAGCTGCACCAAGCGGGTAGGACCAGGCCAGGTCAGATCAAGTGGGCAAAGTAAGTGTATTAATGTCTGGAGATATTAGCTCACTGAGTAACAGAAGGCCAAACTGGGTTTCTTGTTGAAAATCAAGCGAGTGCCCAGTCATGAACTCTAAATTCAAAGCTTGTCCTTGTTGCTACAGAGCAAGTCTTGGCAAATGGTCTACAGGTAGATACAACTTAGAAATGTTACTGTCCATGTATAAGTCAGTCATGCATGGAAGTGATGCTGAATACTCATCTACTTCTAAAAATTATTTTTTTACAGAACTTAGAGTTTGACTCATATCCTGGTTTCACAACTCATTGTGTTACCTCAGAAACTTTTATGTGTATAATGCATAAAGAAAGTAAAGAAGGTTCTATATGCAAGCATGGCTATACCCTTACAACTTTATAACAGAACTGGGAACTTGGTTGTTTTTGGTTTTCTTTTTTTTTTTTTGGAGGGGAGGTGGGAGCAATGTATGGTATATGTCATAATAAGGTCTGAGATTTCCCAGTGTTAGTGAAAACATAGTATTACCTTGTATACTCATACAGTGCAGGTACAATGCTATTGTACTGTCTTCTGATAGCAAGTAAAGCACCAATGTAACCACACAAAATCAGCAACTCATTCCGAAATCTATAAATGGACAAGTATTAATCATGAAAAACAACAAGCATTTGCAAAACATTAAACAAATTAATATTACAATATTAAAACTTAATTTATCCATCCACCTTTTGTGGAGAATATATGTTTGCTGATTATGCTTATTTTCTGTGTCATGGAGTTGTTAAAACAGACTCTGTGCGTTTTATACTCATCTCCATTGTTAAATTTTAAATGGCACATACAACACAGTTTTTAAGCACAATCATGTAAAGTTACAAAAACAACACTCAGAGCTTTTAACGCGCTAGAACTCTAAATGGAAAAAAAAATTGCCCCAAATATTAGTGCGGACTTCAGTTTCACCAAATTTCCCCAGCTTTTTTCTCCTTTTAGTTCTTCACACGTATACTTGTGTAGGCATCTAGGCCTAGTTTCAACCATCTATCATAAAGATGAACCACAGCTTCCAACTATTAAAGAGTTAATACTGAGAGTGGCAGCTCAAATTTTCTTACCACTTTGACATAAAAGCCCACATTGTGTGTGGTACCACTGCTCTTTTTCCTCAGGAAACTGAAACTAGAACAGATCAAAGTGAAGGTCTTCACGTAAGACCATTGATTCACCCCTTGTAAATACGCCACAGAAAAAGAAGCAGTAAAATATCCTTTTTTTTCCCTTGCTAAACCTTCAAAATTTAGGAAAATTCCACATTCTATTCTCCAGATTGAGAACCAGCCAGCTTGCTGAAAATTTTTTTTGTATCCCTCTTTTGGTAAGCAAATAATGATAGTAACAGTGTTCACCTACATATATATATATATATATATATATCTGTTTATAAGTTCCAAAAGTTTCCTTTAATGAAAGTTCCACTTTCTAAGTAATGAAAATATACTCACTCACTACATTGATGCAACATTAATTGTTCAGTGCGTATGTAACTTAGAAGATCAAGATATGGAAAGACTGAATCCAAAGTCCAATCTGAGCCAATAAGTTGTTCTGTTGAAAAATAAAAATAAAAATATCTCAAGAGGCAAGTTATACAAATGACTTACACTTTAAAAGGTTTCTTCATCCAAGTGCCTACCTTTCACATACTGAATGCCAACAGGGAGAGCCCTGTCAGGTTCTGTGCTTAACAGATAGTACTTTATCGTTTCAAATATATCTCCGTCTGCCTGAATTGCCTCTGCCAACCGCATACATTCTTCTGCATCAGGAAGATTGCACTGGAAAAAAACATTTTGCCAGAAAGTGACAGAAATGTTCAAACAATTCTTTAAGATGCAGAGAAACACTGATGTTTCAACATAACAATAAGAAAAAAATTCTCTCTGAAGGACTCATTGTTTGAAAGATGTACCTGCATATGATGCACATTAAGAAAGCCATCTAGACCAGAGAACAACACAGGGGGAGAAGGTTCTGTAACTTTAATTTAAGCAGTACCAGTTTCCATTGCTAATGTTTTTGTGAACTTTTTACTACTGCTTAATAAATGTACAGTCTGAGCTGAACCTTAAGGGAGTTAGCAGAGAAGACCCTTCTGCTGCTGAAGAGGAAAGGAGGGATTTAAGGACATTAGAGGGATGAGATGTAAAACAACTCAGACTAGTAAAGAAAGCTGATCTGCCTCAACATGATTAGGCTGCATATCTAGTAGGTTGTAAACCATACTGACAGGTAATTCTGAAGATCATAAGCTACTTCAGAAAGCAACCTGTGTAATGGAAAGCGTACACAAAGAGCAGAATTAAAGAACTAAATTTCTTGCACAATACTGAAAATAAAGTCAATGAAGACTAAAAGAGCAAAGAAGGGCATGCAATGTATAAGACTGTTCGGGACAAATTCATCCTACAGATTTATTTGGCCTTAAGTTTTTTGAAATTAGTAAACAAATCAATACATAACCTCTTATTAGCATTCAGGTAAATTTTTTATGTTGTACCTTTTCATGCAGGTCATTTATTTCTGCTATGCATCCAGGATAAAAAGCACATAGTTTTACTAACTGAAGTTTGTTATCAGGAATCATCATAAGAAGATCAGCTGCTAAATCCCTGCACAAAAAAAAGATGACATGTAGTTACTCTTGATGGTTTGTAATAGGAGGAAACTGTTTTCTCTTTAACATTCTTTTTATAAAGAAGAGTTTACTGAAAACAATACTATTTCCAGAGAAGTGCAGAAGCAATCTCAGTCTCTAAGACTATTTTGGTGCAATAAATGAGGCTTAATCTATTTATCTTTTTGGGGAAGTCATCAGTGAATTTTCTGTTGCTTTATTGGTTGAATTAAACAGCTGTGCAATCCTAAAGCATCAGAACCACCTCAAAGTGAGGTGGAAGAATACATGAGCAGGGATGGGAAGGGAGAGTAGGAACTATCCAATTTGAGAGAAGGAAAGATGATAATGTGGTTCTCTGTCATGAAACCATCCTCAAACTTCCAGGCTTCTAAAGCTCCATGACATCAGCATAAAGCATCTCTCAGTCATCCAGAATGGCATGCTTCTATGACATTAAAATAGAGAGATTATACAAGAAAAGAATGTGATATCTATTTTCATTCTTCTCAAAGGAAAACTGTGTTTTAGCAAACTGACATTTCTGAAATTTTCCTAACTTTTTACCATTTGTTACCCTATCCTGAACACAATAAGCAGCTGGAGGGAACACATGTAATATTAGGAAATTATTCTTAAACAATTCTTCTATTCAAATATTAATAACTGGCTATTCTGGTTGTTCTCTGACTCTTCTATTCCGGCAGACATCATTTCTCCTGTGACTCACAAGACTGACTTGCCCCTGTGTAAGGCAAAAAATCCTACAAAGTTCCTCTGGATTTTCAGAATGGGGTCCTTGACTTAAAAATGTTCAAGTAAGCTATTGTCCAATATTTGTAGCTGCTTTCTATCCCACTTTCAAGTACTCATCACAAAAATTAGAACACTGAGTTTAATCTTATTTTTACCCTTAATAAAGTCACATGCTTTTCAAATCTTTCTTTCTATAAACAAGCAAAATACCTGTATCCAAGTGATGGAAAGCTAAAAGGAAGACATTGAAACAGTAATGAACAAACCTTTGTATTACTTTACAGAAGAAATATCTAAGAGAAAATAATTAAAAGACAACAGAAAATCTAAGAGTCAGGGCAACTGACTAACAACAACAAAAAAATGCCTTTTAGTCAAAAGAAATTAATGCCAAAAGGTCTTTGGAATATCTGTTATACTATTACTGTGCAATAGCCACTTTTCCAAGTTACAGAAGAGCTCTTTCAGAATATAGGATATTTCACAGCTTCTTAAACTATTTTTAAGATCAGTTACTCACATGTGCTAATCTTCAAAAGCAATTTAAACATTTTTTTTTTAACGTGATTAGAAGCTATTTTGCAAAATCTGAATCCAACGTTTATTTAAAAAAAATAATTCAAAGAAGCCCTCATGGAACGTTACCTGGAATGATTTTTAAAAATTATGCTGAAAACACTGTCAAGTATAAAGATAAAAATTAGGTGGCTGAGTTTGCATATGCAGAATTCATTATCTCAAGTAAAATATGATTAGCCTTTTGAATAGTAGAAGGTTGCTTTTAACACTATTTAGGTGTTAATTTCCCAAGGTTGTAGGTTTGGGGAAGGACATGAATGCTTAGTTTTGACTTTATTTGTTTAAATTTTATATTTTAGAGCACTTCTAAAAAGAACCAACCAAATCCCAAGAAACATTCCACCAATAAAGTGTGTCTCTACAATGAAATGTTTCCAACTGATGGAAATCCCTAAGCATAACAACCAATAAAAACAAAAAGGGAACCCTTCAAATGTCAGAGACCTGGAACTCCAGCTTGCCCACACATGATCTTATAAATGCAGTGAACCAAGACGTATTATGCTGTGTCACTATCTCTTTATTACAAAATATGAAGAGATTCATTAATTCCCTGATCTTTTCCTACACAATAGAAAAAATATGCTGTAATGGCTGAAAATCAGACTCCAGGATTGCAGAGTGTAGCTGCAGTAGGTGTTCAGTATAGCCCACTGTGAAATCCAGATGTATACTTGGGCAGTATGCAGTATACCATTTCAAAATTTTATCACATGTGCCAATGCAGACTTCAGTACACATATGCCATAAGTTTGCAGAAGCTTTATGTACCTAAACATAAATGCCATACTACTATAAGTATTTGTTACAGCTCTGAGATCAGAACAAGCTTTTGTAACGGAACTGGGAAAAATATACGCTGTTTTTCTTAACTCCACATCCAGCGCTTCCTATTGGAGGCTACATAAAAATCACCCTTCACAATGAAGGCAGGGAGATCAAAGAAGGAGCTTCAGAGACTTTAACAGCTGGATCTGGAGTTGCCAAAACAACCCTGTCAAAACTGGTGCATTGCAGACCTGCTAAATCATTGCAAAGTGAAAGTAGCAAGCCATCAATTTCTTATTTTATCTTTTTCTACAATGCTTCATTGTCTAAGGCAGGCTAAATGCTCTAGAGAGAGGAGTTCCACTGTTTCTCTCAGGCTGCCTCTAGATATTTTAGCACTAACTGTAGCAGAAAAACTGATCCTTAATTGCAGCATCTGTTTAAGTACATCTTTTCTATGACATATTAATTATGAAACACCTTTATAGCTGCCAAATATACCTTGGGACAGTTTTCTGCTTTTCACTGGTAGATAAAAAACAAGAAGCTGTACTCTTCAAAGTAAAACCAGAGAAGGTTTCCCCTATATGCAACAGAGAAATTACTCCTGCAGAATTAAACAGTAATCCTGTTTCATCCTTAAATCTTTTTAGCTGTCTTGTGTTCCTAATACCAATATAAAATAATTCCTCAGACTATTAGCTTCTTTATTTTTCAAACAAGTACTTAAAAATCACTTCACAGATCCTACTTGAGCTTCTGTCCCTTCTGACTTTTTAATTCAATTCCAGCCTTACTTTGTCTGAAGTAGTTATTTGTACTCAGGACAGACCAGGACTTGATGTGCTACCTATTGCCCAAGTAGCTGGTGGTTTTTCAATGGTTTTCACACTCTGTTTGACAATGACTCTTCTCTCATTTACAATGCATACATAATGTGTTTTGAGATTAATGCAGAACATTTGTATGCCCTGTACTTCAAAGGTCTAATAGCAGCAATTCTTATTCTACCTACCCATGGTGGTTTGGTCTCCATAAAAGTTCCAGAATGATATACCTTGATTGTTTTGTCAGGGAAAAAAAATTAATAAAAAATTTCTTTGGATTAAGAAATTCTTACCATGTTGCTACTGCCATACACTTTCTTGCTAGTAATTCTAGGGCATAATGTGTTGCTTGTGCTGCACTTTCTCCTAAGACAGTACCCACACTGACTGCCAGCTCCAGTTCATTTCCACGAATCAGGTTTGCCATCGCAAGCTTGCTCAATGAAAAAATTAAATCATAAGCACTTTTGGTATTCATCATGTTGAGCATATGACAATAATTTATGAGAATGCTTTTTACAGAAGGACAAAATATGCAATACTTAAAGTAAATTATATATAATTCGGGTCTCTTGCATGAGTAAATAACTGTGCACCACATGTTAATCGGTTTTAAAATAAACAAATAGATTTCCTTTAGCAGAATCTTTCTTTATTTAACCAAAGAGATTACATAGATATGATAACTAAAAAGCATGATAGGAATTTCATCTAATCTTAAGTAATGACGCTAACTTTCAAAGTATATACTTCCCCTTTCTTTCAGTGAAGGGAGACTCAAAAAAACAAGAAACCAGGAAGGATTCTCCTGATCTTACACTCTGACCAACCAGAGTTGCTGGCAGGCATAGCACAATGTCAAACAGTAAGAGACTACACAACAACTTGGAATATGCTTATTTTGAAATACAAGCATTAATTGATTCTCGATTTCTCTCTGAACAGATGATTGAGATGGAATTATACTTATTTCGGGGAGATAGAGGAGAAAAACACATTAAGTCCAGAAAGAATGTGAAAAAGAAACTATTTGTATAAAAATACAAACAAAATGAAAAAATCCAGTAAAATGTTTCCTACATGTCAGTTTTATATTTGTACTGAGAGGTGGGGTTTTGTCCTATTTACTTTTTCATTTAGACTGTAAATTCTTGAAGGCAGAGATTGCATCTTCTGTAGAACAATAACTTCCATTTCTGAATAGCTATTTTGAATCACCATAAACAGTAAACAGTAACACTTAAGTGGATATATGTAAGGTACTTAAGTATCTTATATTTTCTAATATAACAAGATACTGTATATACAATTCAATGATAATATATTACTTTCTGTGCATGAGAGAAACCTTGAATTTAATAGAATCAAGGAAGTTTTGCTAGTAACTTTAATACTGTAAGGATCTAACTCTGCATAAATATATACAAATCAAATATCAAGTATAAGTAGAATTTTAGAATGTGATACATAAATTTTAAAACACGTGTGGAGAAAGGAAGACAATGTCAGATTTTTCATAATTAAAGACAAAAAAAATACCTCTATATTTTCAACAGCCAGATGACAACATGCTGCAAGCACTGCATGGCCATCCTGAAAATACCAATCTGCCAGTTCTTTACTGACCTTGTGCAGAAGCCTGCAAGAACAAAACATGAATTCTGCAAGGTCGCTTTCAGGCTGGAGTCCTTTGGCTCTTAATTTATGTAAAATTCACCGCATTTCCTTCTGTACCCTAAAAATTGCTATATTTGACTTACGACTAGCTTGAAAAATGCAATCTGTTTGAGCTTCATCCACTGCTTAGGTTGGTGTGTACTCATGGGGGTCATTTCCCAAAATCTACGTAAGTACAGAAATGTCTCTTCAGACTGACACAAAAAAAAATCAAATATTTGGATATCCAATTTATACCAAGTATTTCTCTAATTGCTCAAAAATTGCACATGTAAATGAAGCAGCTAAACAGCCTCTAAATTGCTTGTTACTACACCAATAACTGGATAATTCAGGTTTTTGACCACTGTTCTAAACAAGGACAGGTGCATGCTTTGGGTGTTTTTAAGGGCATGGACAATGAAAATCACAGAATCATAGGATGGCTTGGGTTGGAAGGGACCTTAAAGATCAATTAGTTCAATGTCCATGCCATGGGCAGGGACACCTTCCCTTAGACCAGGTTACTCAGAGCTCTATCTAACCTGGCATTAAACACTTTCAGGAGTAGGGCTTCCACAACTTCTCTAGGCAACCTGTTCCAGAACCTCACCACTCTCACAGTAAAGAATTTTTTCCTAATATCTAATCTAAAACTACTGTCTCAGTTTGATTTTTAGTGTACGTTGTTAGAATCTTTACTGATGACAAACAGCAAAGCTTCAGGAGTAGATGATGCATAATAACAGGGGATAATAAATACTTGTTAATGCTAAATCTTACCCTGCTTACCAGAAGTTCTAAGTTAATATGCTATATATTTAAGGGCACAGGAATGCATCTTAAATATCAAGCAAGTGAAAAGGACATTTATAAAACATACAAATGAAAAATCCATTTTGTGCCAGGAGGAGTCACAAGAGGGAAATTAGTGTAGCATCAGATAGTTAGGAACTCTATTAACTATGTACTAGAAGACGCAATATTTTGTTTAATTCTAAATTGCTGATGCCAAATTAAACCACTAAGCTTTATCTCCCTTAATGACTTTACGTTCTGTACTAAAATGAGATTTTAGATATAAACTAGAACAACTTACTCATTATAATCATCAGTATTGTTTCCACCAGAATTTGAAGATCCACTTGCTGTGGAGAGTGGTAACATCTGTATATTTCCTTCACAAGCTGCCTGGTAGTGAATAAAAAACATTAATTAATGCACAATTGAAACTGAAGATGAAATACAATTTTTAAACAACAACAAAAATAACCTGTGATCTACAAAAATAATTCTGAAGCCTAGTTATAACAAAGAAAATGTTTAAATGTTTAAACTAATGAACTTTTTCATAGCTACATCTTAGCCTAATTTTATCCAGCCATACAAGAAATTCTACAGAAGCAATAGACTTCTTCCTTCCTATGCATTTGAGCAAGATTTTTCCAGCATTTGAATATGCTTAAAATGGACAGTGAAGACTACAACCTCGATTTTTACACCACAAGGAGCAAGTGGCTGTGAATAAAGGATGAAGTCTATAGATACTTCTCAGCAGGTATAACAGCAAATTGGAAATGTTTGGCATACGGTGGCAGAAAGTGGCATAAGCTTAACTCTTTTCTCTCTAGCAATAATTTATTTCTTACATTAAATACAAAGAGATCAGTGTGGGTTAAATGAAATCAGTGGACAAAGTGGTGTTTGGTCAAGGATTGGGCTCAATGATCTCAAAGGTCTTTTCCACACTAATTGGTTCTGTGATTCTGTGAATTCTTTCATATTCTTTAAGGTGTAGCAGGGATAACACGATTAAACCTCAGAGCTGAGTGACAAGGGAAAATAAGTCCCGGTATTTTGTTGCTTAATATTATCCGATTAAATCCTTGAGACAAGATCATTCTATGAATTGTAATATTTCTCTGTAATCTCTCTCTTACAAGAAAAATTAAGATCTTTCTAAAGCTTTAATTTGCTTTAGGGTCCAACATTTTAACTTGTTAAATCTAAGCACATATTGAAGTTCTATTCTGTACATTATTCAGCTATTGAGCTAAAACATTCAGGCAGACAATTTCTCAGTAGAAATGCAAGAGAAATCAAATTCTACACGTCTTTGATGTTAAGGCCAATACTGACTGTTGAAAATCAGGTTCTATTTCAATCAAAATTGAACACATCAGTTTTCACTATGGTTATGTGATTGCAGTTTAGAACAATCAGGCTTTCAATACATAAACATGACATACCTTCTTTTGATTTTTGCATAAAAACTGGTCAGTACAATATGAAAGTAAAGACTGAGGTATCATTATTCACTATTTTGCAAAAGTGAACAGAGCAAGTCTTTTAAATATGCTTGTCATATTCAGAGTTATAAGCTAATAGCTAAATACATCTCCCCCACTGGTATATATAGTAATACCTGTGCAACAAGAAGCGCTTCTTTAAGCTGACCTCTTGAAGTAAAGAAAGAAACTAGTTTCTTTACATCTCCAGTAGCTATACAGTATGGGATGACATCATCATTTTCTTCCTGAATTAACTGATCAGCTCTCCTAATTAAACAAATGAATAAATAAACAAGAAAGATCTACACATATGATTAATCACCAAACTTATCTCTATGGTATAGGTGTTAGATGAAGCCATAAAAAGATCACTGAAACCCATTTGCCTTTCCAGACTTACAAACTGTGGATACTGCACTAAAGAGTTCATAGCTGAAGTTCCAATTTTTGTTCAACCCTTTGATTCAAGTACACAAAATTGTTGAAATCCTCCACAGTTCTATCCCAAAGCTTGCTGAACAAAAAGTAACATAACTAGAAGGCTGTAACAAAAGACAACTACAACTGATATTAGTATCCATCCTTCCTAACTTGTCTGTGTCCTTTTATGGATTGAAGCTACAACTCACCATAATATTTTTATGAACTTACCTTTGCATTAGCTTCCTCCAATATTTCATTGATACACCAGGCGCAACTGAGAGAGCTTTGTCCCACTAGAAGAAAGCAGCAATACATTTACCCTGATCATTTTATTTTGAGAAACAGCCATATTTTAAACTAGCTTAATTTTTCTTCCATTAAAAATAAATTTGACAAGAGGTTCAATAAGGAATGAGTTATGCTTTAGACTGCATATGTTAAAAATAAGCTAATTGGAACACAATTATTTTTTTGGGGACTTGTGACCATTTATTGACTCTCCATCTTTGCAAGGATAGCTGGTTTCAGAAACTTTCATATTTTGTTATTCTTCAATAATGTTCTGATGTTTTACCTCTCCAAGTTCTACCATTAGTTCACAATATCGCTGAATTTGTCCTAATCTTAAATGTATTTCTGCAGCTTCTTTGAGCCTTTCCTCTTTGCTTGGTGCACCAATACCGCCTCCAAACTTAGACATCTTTACTGTTGTCAGCTCTTGTGCCCTGGACTGAGGGGGAAAAAAAAAAGGATAAAAAAGTTTTCTGTGAAGAAAACAAGTTTTCTTAAGAATACACTGCTGTCAAATATTACAGTGGAATACAAAGGTTATAATTTCAGAAAAAAAATCTTTTGAGAAAAGGCTAATTGGAACCGATTTCAGTGAGATTACAGTGAACTTTATGTTGTTAAAGTAACTGTGTTAGTGTTTTGTGCTTATATACACAAAGTTTCTATTATCTTCCTTTAATATCTTTATATAATTTTTTATTCTCAACCATTTTCTCATATGTTATAGTAATTCATCCAGATGTCCCTCATAAAAATCTTGATATTTTGAAACATAAAAAAAAAAATTGTGAACATAAACCATAGAGAGCTGGAAATCGAACATATTACCATTATAATGATGTCACATAAAGAAATAATACAGATAGCAGGCTCAACTGGTTGACAATAGCTTTGTGGTCTGATCTGTCATGTCCCATGAGTCTTATAACCAAGAAATTATTTATATTCCCAACTAACGCAATTTTTATATTAGTTGGAGAAATAAGACTAACTTGCTTCATCTGGCAGAGCTTGAGAAACAAGCTGCAACAGAATTATAGTTAACACAGAAAAAAAAAAAAAGGCAAAACCAGCTTCATGTTTCAACAATTCTCAGTTTATTTCTACCATCAATACACATTTATGGCATTTGGCTATTCATAGCTTTAGTGTACCATATATGGAAGATGGAGAATGAATTTTAAACATTCTTCACTAAAGCAAACTGCCATGTAGACCAATGCCAGCTCCCAAGGATCTGGGGGTTTTTTAAAACAATGTTACTTTTTTTCCTCAGCATCTCTACATTTTTTATTATTTTCATGTTGAAGTCTCCAATACATCCTCTCTGTTTCCTAAAAACAGAAAAAACACAGTTGCTCTGCATCCCTACTTCATCCTGAAATGTCTAGGTGCTACAATGCCATTATCCGGTTTCCTAAGAAAAAGAGAGTATCAGCAGCCCTTAACAAGCAGTCAGCATTACCCTGTCAAACAAGATTCTGAGTCAGCAAAAAAGGGCACAAAATGACCAGCAATGACTGTAGTGATTTTAGGTCACCGGACTTATAAATGCACAAAATCATGTTGCAGAGATAAACAGACTGCTTGCACTGCACAAGCCAAGAATTAATGTCTTCTCAGGCTAACTGGCTGAGAAATCTGATTTTTGGACACATGGACACATTTACAGGGCTTCACAGGATTAGCAGAACAGCTGCTATTATTACAGTTAATAATACCAATAAACTTGAATCATTTAAGAGTCATAAGGTATGTAGGACACTTAAAGAACCTGTGATTTTGCAAAAGAGAGAGTCTGCAACAGCAAACAACAGGTGATAGGTATTACAAAAGTGCAGGTATTACCTCATACAACAAATGCAGGTATTACCCCTGGGGGTGGCAAGTGCATTGGCTGATCCTATACCAGTAGATAATGTTTCCTCTATTTACAACCCAGTCATTAGAGTGTAGGATTCTTTAGTACTGCTAAGAACTCCCTGACAGAACCACAAATTTGCATATTCTGCAGAAATTGTATGTCTGGTTGCATATTCATATATGCAGCTACTAATAAATTTATGGTCTAGTACTTGAATTTCACATTCACATCTGAATTGCTCTTAAGATGCATATCTGTATTAATGACAGGTTCTTGTTTCTCCACTCCTTCTTCCACAGACCTACAGAATATATTTCTGCTAACTCTCCTCCATTTTCTGATGTGAATTCCTCTATTCCTGCATCTGAACGCAGACACATACTTCACGTTTATACAATCAAATAATCAAGTCATTTGACTTTACTGAATATAAAAGCACAGTGTATATAACAGGGAAGACAAACTCGCTTCATAGCTCAAGCTTTGCAATTTCTTTTAATTATTTTGAAAAAGGCTTCTCTAGTTAAAAACTGTAAATTATCATTTTAACACTGAGTATGCAGTATGAGTATGAAGTCATGCAGACTTAGCTAGATCCTATTGTAACAGACTGGTATTGCAGATGGAACTGGTATTGCACAAATATCTTTGGACATGAAATAAATTGTAACCCTTTTGTAAAACATTAAATGTTATTTTTAAAGAGTGAAATACTATATAGAGTAACAATCATTTTCACATATTGTTCATGTTTCACTTACCATTCTAAATCTAATGAGATGTTTCATATGCATAATTCCTTTGCAGTAGTTTTGTGGAAGCAAACTGTCATCCTGTCCTTTTATTACAGCAACCAAATCCCATAAATTTTTGCTGCCTCCAGGAGGCTGAAATTGTTAGGGAAGAAAAGTTGTATTACAGTCATGCTCAAGAGAGAAACTTGAACTTATGAAGACATTCAAAAACATTTGTCTGTCAACTCCAAGAAAATAATGTCAGACCATTTCAACCTTAGAACCTTCATTATGAAGGCATGAATTAGTTCAAGATACTCTAAGTCCTTCAGTCTTCTTGAAGGCTGTAAAGATACAGCAAGATCCATGAATATAAGTATTGGGTTATGTGTGGACATAGTTGAGGGCTTGCCATTAGAGTTTTCCCTTTTCCTCACAAAGACATACAAGCTATCTTGTGGCTACTGCTGGCATAAAACAACATTCAGCTGCTGGGATGCAGGAGCTGCCCCAGTACTTGTTTACCATTTTCTGTAAATTGAAGGTATGGGCAAAAAAAAGGCAAGATAAAAAAACAGCTCCAAGGCTTGACTGCCAGAACCTGGTTTACCTTCTTAATATTAAATCTTGAAATAGACACATATGGCATATGTATATGCACAAAAGCTTGCAGCACAAAGTGACCAAGGTGATTATTTTTTAAAAATAGATTTTAAGCACTTCCATTGGTCTGGCTTTTGAATCAATCCTTCTGTAGATCTAGGACAATAGTTTAACACTGAATGAGGTCTAGAAGAGAGTGAGAATTTAAAAGCTTAAAAAAAAAAAAAATCATTAAACCTTTGACCTGAAGGAGCTTTCCTAAGAATAACAGGATTACAAGTTTAGAAGTCCAGTTATTTCTGAGCTGGTAAAAAGCATGAAATCCTACTAGAAAGAAACAAAAAAAGGCAACACCCCCCCCCCCCTAAAAAATATTCTCTCTTTTTTCTGTCCCGTAAAGCTCTTATTTGTCTCCTCATTGTGTAGCACAATATCTCATTTTCTGGACTCAAAAAGCACTGAGTATAGCTGATAAAAAAAGCTTTCGTTCTTGGAAAATTTTAGTACTCTTATAACAGTTTTACTCTCAAATCAACATGGGATATCAAAATGTACAGCTTCTGTGAAACAAGGAATTCCATAAAATATATTTTTAGAAAATATAAAATGTCCAGGTTCCAAATTGAGGAAGATTGTTTCAGCATTTCAAAATCACACACTTCAATCTAGCTAGAAATCATAACAAATATTTTGGATGAACTAGATCTTTATAGATCAGAATCCTGACTTAAATTACAACAGTGCGTGACACAATCTGTAGTTCCAGGTAATTTTTGTCCTTGTTCTACCCCAAGTTCAGCCCTTATGCAGCTAAACGGTCACAGGGATCCAGTAGTTTATATTTTTAACTCAACTGCACTGAGAGGTTGCAGCGATTTATAGGAAATATTACTATGCTGTGGAGCAAAGGAAACAAATGGATACCGGGGCATCGGTCATCCAGATCTACAGCTGCCAGAATGTAATCCTGTGGTTTGGGCAAAAACACTTGGGTAGTTCAAACCTTACGAGTAATGAGGGTGTCCCTTTGATAAATCAAAATTAAAAACTCTCATGTAGTTTGATAAAACACTTAATTTTCTCCAATAGCAAATTCTTGTCAGATTACACCTTTTCTATAGAAAATTAAATTATCCCATTAATTTCACTTTGCAAAAAACTGGTGTTCACAACTGACAAACAATTAAGTCATGGACATTTTTATATGCAGAACTGCTAAAAAACAGAACTGATTTCTACATATTTCCTAAGGTCCCTTAAAAAAGAGAGAAAAAAATTGTAAAGAAGGAAGAAATTTCAGTTTTGGAGATTGACCTCAGAAGAGCAAGTCATGCACACTGACAACATACTCAGGTTTACAGAATACTTACTGAAAAACATTCTGAAAACCACCTTAGTTTTTTTCCTCGAGGATTTCCTGACAATTTTTCCAATTCCTGTTTAATATCCCTGGAAACTTTACCACACAGCAAAGGAGGAGCACCAGATTCCACAGCACGATCTAACACACACAAAGATTTATACAAGAAAATTAAAAAAAAAAAAAACAACGAAAAGAAAAAAGAAGAATAGTGATATAAAGAAAATTAGAACAATGGTATACACAATTTACTTACCTGTATTGCCGATAATATCATCCCAACATCTATCTGCTAAGATATTTATTGGTAGAGGGTTTATAAGAGGTGTCAATGACCAGAGTCTCACAGTGGAATCACGAGAGCAGGATGCCATAGTAAATGGACGACTAGGATGACATGTTAATCCTAGCAGAGAGGGCATTTAAAAATGCAGTCAAAAAAGTTTATCTAATAACCCATTTGATTAAATTATTTTATAAAATTTAAAATATATTAGAATGCATTTAAATACAGAAATAAAACCAAATTAAAAAATATTACCATATACATCTGCACCATGATCATAAACTGTGTCCAAACATGTTCCATCTCTTGTGTCCCAGACTCGAATTGTATAGTCCCAACTGCCAGATATTAGAAGGTAAGGAATTTCAGGATTCCACATCAGCCCCCGTACTGGAGCTGTGTGTCCACTAAGAACATTTATACAAGCGTCCTGTGTATAATCCCATATTCGAACAGTACTGAAACAGGATAAAAGAGACCAATGTCCATCAAATCACCTATAAAAATATCATTATCTCTCTACTTCAGCAACATTCTAAGTCTCAAATTTATCAGAATATTTACTTGCAATATGTTTATAGAAGCTGAAATAGGAGAGGGTGGAGCCAATGCCCTTCAAGTTTACAATGGTATACAAAGTACACCAAAGACCATTCACCAGGGTAAGAAACTATTCCATTGACCACATAATCTTTCAAAAGCTGACAGCCACCTGTCACTTACATGTCAGTGAGAGAAAAGAAGTTGGCCATATGTCTGCATATGCAGTAAATTTTTCTGTTAGGACTCTCAAGAGGAAAAAGAACTAAAGAAAAGCAAAACTGTAAAATTTATCTTTCCTATGGCTTCAACAGCCCTCTAACAGACCCAAGAAATTAGAGATCTGCTAGTCTAAGCTCAGTTCCTGGAAAAAATTGTGAAGATTATACTAGGTAGTATGGAAAGGCATTTAAAGAATAACTCAATCATCAGGCACAGGCACAGTTAACATGGGTTCAAAAAGGGAAAGTCCTGGTTAACTAATCAGGTATCCTTCTATGACAAGGTCACCTGCCCAGTGGATGAAGTGAAGGTGCTGGATGTAGTTTCTCTCAATTTTAGTAAGAGTTCAGATACTGTACCTGACAGCATCCTTCTGGACAATGGTGGGATAAGCAGGTTCATGGTGCACTGGGTGAAGGACTGGCTGAACATCAGGGCTCAAAGAATTGTCGTGAATGGGGCTACATCTGGCTAGCAACTTGTCATCAGCAGTGCTCCTCAAGGTTCAATTCTAGGGCCACTCCTGTTCAATGTATTTTGCTGTCAAGAAGTTTGCTGTGAAGTTGTTTTCTGTCATGAATCACTACACTATGAACTAACAGATTTTGCTTCAAGCATAAATCTCTAATGGGGAAAGCAAAAGCAGTCAGTACTCCAAACTTGAGATCTATTACAAAAATATCTTGTATAGTCTGCAGGGAAGTGGCTTAGAACCACAAAATCCTTCCTCTCGTTTACTGAGGACTGCTGCGCTTTCCCTCAAAAAAGATGTCATCAAAACAACAAAACAGAAGTATCTAGCACTCATTAAAAATTTCTGCAGACTATACTTAAGTATATTTTTGAAAAAACATCAGTCACTGTGGTGTCCTCCTTGTATTATTCCTCAGAGTAACAGTATCAGTCACTGATCCTACTCTTGGGAAAGCATTTGGAAAGGTTGCACTGCTACAGCAGCTGTGACAATCTTAATGATCCCGCTGCCCAAATACTATATAAAGCTAACAGCAAAGCTACAGCCTGTATTTGAACAAGGCAGAGATTTAGATTATTAGGTATTCATGAAGTTTTTGAAGGTGCAAACACTAGTACAAGTAAATATTTTTAGTTTCTTGAGTAGTTCTGCTTGAGGTTTTAAGTTTTCCAATAGTTCAGAAATACACACCCATCATCAGAGCCACTGCAGAGGATTCCTTCTCTCAGAGGAGACCACCGTACATGAAACACCTTTGCAGTATGCCCTGTGAAAACTTTCAGTGGCTGATCAGAGCTGGTTGCCAAGTAGTAAACGCGAACATTTTTATCCTCACAACCAGTAGCTATCATATCTCTGCAAAATATAAACAGCAAAATCTTTAGTCAGAGAGATGATCAATGCTTTTTTAATTTAAAAATAAATATGATGTGTAATTTGCAATTTACTTCAAAAAACAGCATATTTTTGCTTCTTCTTTGTCTCTTCAAGAGACAAAGTAACTATTGATAATCCAATTAAATATACTAAATCAGACAGAAAGTTCTTATGTCATTATTAGGAATTATCTGCAAAATTAATATATACCATAGTGCATTTAGTTGCCTACTACATTTTCAGCTTAGCAGTCATTACAAGGAAGCCAATATAAACCCCTTTTTCCTGGTATTGAATGTCTGCTTTTTTCCCCCCACTATATATTCAGCTAGAGAATTTTTTTTCTCTCATCAATATGAAAAGATCTTCCTTTGAAAATTAAGGAAGTTCATGGTGGTCAATGAGATACACTACTGGGAATATAGAGCTGCTACAGGCATATCCTACTGTGGAACAGATAATTTTAGTGGTTTACTACCACAGTGAAAATCACATTCTAATAAGCTTGTGTTTCTTTACTGGCAATCAATTTAAATAGTAAATATTGTCAATTCTTTGGGTTATTTTTTACTTACTTGTTGTTTTGACTCCAATCACAGCCGAACACTGCAGCTGGATGTTTATACTTGTGAAGAACATTGCCATCAATGGTTCGAATAATACTGAAACCAATTATAATGCAAAATAATAAGGAAAAAAACATTCTGAGGAGGTTATCCAAAATTAAGGTTTATTCTGTGCGAATAAGCCAGGTAGTAAAAAGATATACAGAAAGAATATGAGAAATAGCCATAAACAATATCAGCCCCTCAACTACAAGGCTAACTATGCATTTTCCAAGAAAACATCTAACTAGACTTCAGTGTCCATGTTCCTTCAGAAGGCCTATAAAGATATCCACTGTAGTACCTCCTTCTTGAAAAGATCCTCATAGCCCAAAATCAAAGTTGTAGTTATGGTTTTAAGGTACAAATAGATCTCTTAAGGAACTAAAAAAGAAAAAAAAAAAAAAAAAAAGAAAGAAAAAGTTGATTGTTTTCTAAAATTTATGCCCATTATGTTTGAGCTGGAATGACACAGGTAGCAGAGGAAACTAATGAAGAAGGATTTTTAAAATGTACTAAAACATAATATATGCAAAATTGGGCTCAATGGATATTCACACATTTTTAGAAATAAGGTATTATACTCCCGTAATAGTACAATTGTAATTACTTTGTTCTAAACTAGTGCTTTCTAGTCCTTGAAAGAACAAACTTTAAAATTTTAAAAATTAAAACAAATACAGTTGGATAGCTTTTGGAAAGTGTCCCCTACAGACAAGAATTATAGGATATTCTTGGCTAAATAAAATAAAAATTCAGTTTCATTATCAGAGTGCCTTAAACACTATTCCTTTTGAAAAAGTTTCCTTTATCTTCTTCTTAAAATCATGAAAGACATACCCTAAGTACAGAACACTAATATAATTCTAGTTTTGTCCAGTAACAAAAGTTTTAACATTAATCACTGACAGTACTGTCAAAATGTACAGACTTGAGAAGTGCATTTAGCAATTTTTTTTTCTTCCAATAACACTCACCAAAATCCATCACTGCTGCAGGTTGCTATTCTTTTGGAATCTTTATGACTCCAGGCAATGCAGAAGATTCCATTCTTTCCATGCTTCAAAAAATGCAAAATACCTATCAATAAGAAATAATTCACCCCTTTTTCTCTCATCTATTGACTCTTATTTTATTTTATTCTACTATGGGCTTCAGCCCTTTTCTCCTAGTAAAGTATACTGTACAAAACCACACTATAGTGAGTACCCAATACATCTGGGATATTTGAAAACTCAAGTCCAAAAAATTAGGACTACGGAGATGGACAGTAAAACTGCTATACTTGCCAGGATCCAAGAGGCAAAACTGGGTCAAGCTGAAGAATAAGCAATCCATAACTCTATAAACCTGAAGCTTAAATAAAGAACGCTATGAGCAATCAAGAGGGACCTCTGGGCCTTTGGACAACTGCACAAGGGCTTTGAAGCACAAGTTGTGTTCTCTTTGTCCTGCCTGCCCCTTGCAGGGAGTGATGGGAAAAGAAAGAGGAAAATCATGCCAGATGAACATCCGGCTTTGAGACTTGTGTTACCAGCAGAATTTTGGGGTTTTTGATCATGGGTCAGTTTATACAACACCAAGCCTCCTGGCAACAAATGGGGTCCACCTGTCTCAAAGAGGAAAACAGATCTTAGCTCGGGAGTTAGCGGGGCTCATTGAGAGAGCTTTAAACTAGATTGGAAAGAGGACAGGGACAGGCTTGCCAAAGAGAAGGTGTAGGGAAGGGGAGAACAACAGCAACCACCTAGTATAAGGAGGCCCAAGAGAGAATACCTGGAGCTAGCACAAGCAGCCAAAGACATAATCACTAGACAGGACTATGGGATGTCCCTTTGCACCCCCACAGGGATACTGACACAATCAAATACTCTGTAAAGTGCCTGTACACCACCACACAAAGTACGGGGAACTAACAGGCTGAACTAGAGATCTGTGAGCAGTCACAGCCCTCTGACCTCACTGAAATTATGGAGACATAGGGGATAGCTTGCATGACTGGAATGTTGTCATGAAGGGCTACACAATGTTTTGGAAAGACAGACCAGGAATGCACAGTGGTGGAATTGCCCCGTGTGAGACAACACTCAGAATGTATCAAGCTCTGTCTTGGGGTGGATGATGCGCAAGTCGAGAGCTTATGGATTAGAATGAAAGAGAGACTAGTAAGGGTGACACTGTTGTGGGGTCTTGCTACAGGCCATCTGATCAGGAGGAGGAAGCAGATAAAGCCTTCTACAGGCAGCTAGAAGCAGCAAAGTCACGGACCCTGGTTCTCGTGGGGGACTTCTACTAACCCAACATCTGCTGAAGAAGCAACATAGCAAAGCACAAACAGTCCAGGAGGTTCCTGAAGTGTTGACGGCAACTTCCTGTCACAAGTAGTGGAGGATCCCACAAAGAATGGTGTGCTAATACTAAGAAACAGGGAAGGCCTTGAAGGGCATGTGAAGGTTGGGGGCAGCCTTGGCTATAGTGACCACAAGATTGCGGAGTTCACTATCAGACAAGGAAGAAACAGGGCAGCAAGTAAGATACAGCCATGGACTTCATAAGAGCTAACTATTGCCTATTCAGGGATTTTCTTCGAAAAATCCCATGGGAACAGGCCCTGCAGAAAAGAGGGGTCCAAGAGATCTGGTTGATATTCAAGGATCACTTCCTCTAGGCTCAAGAATGATGCATTCCAATGAGCAAGAAATGGGGTAAAGGGGGCAAGAGACCTGCGTGGATGAACAAAGAATTACTCAAGCATAAGCAGGAAATACACGGGAGATGGAAGCAGGGTCAGGTCACTTGGAATGAATAAGTAAGTAGAAATGACATAAGGAAGGCCAAGAGCCATCTGGAACTGAATATGACCAAGGATGTCAAGGAAAACAACAAGGGCTTCTTTAAATAACAATCAATAACAAAAGGAAATCAAAGGATAATAATGTAGGCCCATTACTAAATGGAGGGAGAAACTGGTAACAGAGGACACAGAGAAGGCAGAGATATTGAATACCTTGTTTGCACTGGCCTTCACTGACAAGACCAGCCCTTGGGAATCTCTGACCCAAGGGACCAGCACAAAAGAACGTTGCAAGAAAGGCCTTCCCTTGGTCAAGTAGAATTGGGTTAGAGAACCTAGACTAACTTGACATACACGAGTCCAAGTACCCTGACAGGATGCAACTGCAAGTCCTGAGAGAGCTGGTGGACACCACAGTGAGGCCACTCATGATCATCTTTGAAAAGCTGGCTATCAGGAGAGGTGCTGGCAGAGGACTGGAAGAAAGTAAATGTCACCTCGGTCTTCAAAAAGGAAAAGAAGGAGGATCCAGGGAACTATCAGCTAATTAGCCTGACCTCAATCCCTGGAAAGGTGATGGAGCACCTCATTCTGTGGGCCACCTCTATCCACATGGCTGACAAGAAAGTGATCAGGAGAAGTCAGCATGGATTCATTGAAGGGAAATCATGCTTGAACCACCTGATTGCCTTCTACAATGAAACAACTGCCTGGATGGATGCAGGGACAGCAGTGCATATTGTCTACCTCAACTTCAGCAAGGCTTTCGACACTGTCTCTCACAACATTCTCAGAGGCAAATTCAGTAAGTGTGGACTGGATGAGTGGACAGTGAGGTGGGTTGAGAACTGGCTAAACTGCAGATCTCAGAGGGTTGTAATTAGTGGCACAGGGTCTACTTGTAGGCCTGCCACTAGTGGTGTCCCCCAAGTTTCAATACTGGGCCCAGTACTGTTTAACTTATTCATCAATGACTTGGATGAAGGGGCTGATACCTCTTCAGCAAGTTCACTGATGCTGCAAAGCTGGGAGGAGTGGCCAATACCCCAGGGTGTGGTATATCCCTTCAGAGGGACCTCAATAGGCTGGAGAGATTGGCAGAGAAGAACCTACTAAAGTTCAACATGGGCAAAGCAGGGTCCTGCACCTGGGGAAGAATAACTCCGTGCACCAGTATTGGCTGGGGGCTGATGTGCTGGAAAGCAGCTCTGTAGAGAAAGACCTGGGGGTCCTGGTGGATAACAAGTTGTCCATGAGCCAGGAATATGCCCTTGTGGTCAGGAAGGCCAGTGGTATGGGGTGCATCAGGAAGAGCATTGCCAGCAGGTTGAAGAAGGTGATCCTACCCCTCTAGTCAGCCCTAGTGAGGCCATATCTGGAGTGCTGTGTCAAGTTCTGAGCTTCTCAGTACAAGAGAGTCATGGAGCACCTGGAGCAGGTCTAGGGGAGGGCAACAAAGATGATTAAGGGACCAGAGCATCTCTCTTATGGAGGAAAGGCTGAGAGATCTGGGCCTGTTCAGCCTTGAGAAGACATGACTGAGAGAGAACTGCATCAATGTATACAAATATCTGAAGTGAGGGTGTCAAGAGGATGAAGCCAGGCTCTTCTAAGTGGTGTTAAGCAATAGGACAAAAGGCAACAGGCAGAAACTGCTGAACAGGAAGTTCCACCTGAATACGAGGAAAAACTTTCCTGTGTGGGTGACCAAGCACTGGAACAGACTGCCCAGAGAGGTTGTGGAGTCTCCCTCACTGGACATATTTAAGAACCATCTGGACATAACCTCTGCAATGTGCTCCAGGACAGCCCTACTTGAGCAGAGAGGTTGGACCAGATGACACACGCTGTGGTCCTTTTCCAACCTTACTCATTCTATGATTCTGAATAAGGTTAGTTACTTATTGGAATAATGAAGTGAGTGGGCATGAAAAATTGTGGTATGTGAAAACTTAAATGGTATGTGTATCAGGATGAGCACTACATAGAAGATGCTTAGTAGCACAAATGCAAAGACCAGTGTTAGAATCCCAGAACTCCTGAATGTATTTGTTTTCTGCTCATGCCTCTCCCCACACCTCTCTTCTTAAAGAGCATCCCTTGTACACTGATGCAGACACCACAGTTAATTATGTCTGCATAATCTGAAGATTACAGCTATATACTAACAATACACAAAATAGAGTAGAATACTACAACATAGTATTACAACAGCTCCTTTATGCCAATAAAAATTACGCTACTGTTTCAGGACTTAAAAATGCCTGGATAGATTTCAGGTAATACAAGGCAAGATTCTAAATGAGGCATACTGTTTAGTGTGCTGCAAAATGGAGCTTTATTGATCTAGACTTCAGTGACTGAAAGCCTTATGTTTAAAAATACAGAACACAATTTGCATTTTGATGCCAAGTCTATATGTCCATATACATTGACACATTTAAGAAGGAATCAGCATTGCTTTTGCTGTGTGTCCCTACAGGACCAATATTAATATAATGGAGACCATGTGGTGCTTCATCATTCTCATGTCACAAATCCAGTCTGAGGAAATAAAATACTTCTGCCACACAGGTAAACTGGCACCCACGTAATTCTATAGATTTTTATATTCTAGCACCTTTAAAAAACATATGAACTTTGACCCATCTATTTTTGACACTAGAGGAAATGACTAATTTACATTTTATATAGACAAAAAGAATAATCTCATCTTACCTCACTGAATCTGGTTATCATTTTGCCTTTTCGAACATCCCAGATGAAGGCACCATTTCTGGATGTTGCCCCTGCTATGCAGTTCAGATCTCCTTTAAAGAGAGATATTTGTAAAGTGTCACGATAATTATAAGATCGCAATATTGTTTGTGTTTATACTTTAAATTGAAGAAATGAAATATCAACAGGAGACATCAATGGCACATAAACATGAATTCTCCATAGTTTAAGGCCAGCATTTGCTACTAAGTCACAAAAATCAATTTCAGAAAAAGCCTGACCTGTTTTTTACATTCCTGTTTTGAGGAAAGGCAAAAGAGAAGTTGTATTGCTGTAAAAAGTATTCTCAATGCCTGATGGAAGTCTTGCCCTTAAAAACATAGTGACCATGATGCATATGACTCACACTAGAAAAGAGATACAATCTCAATGTTTCAACCTTAAAGTTGGAGCAACTAGAACACTTTCCTTTAAAAGAAGATGTACTTCCCTATGTACTAAGATAAATCATAAAAATGTGACAGAACATCTAACAATAGTTTGTTTCCTTAATCTTGCACCACTGCAGCATGCGACCCCCTAAGGATGTACCTGAATCTGTAACTACACTCTACAGGGTGGAAAATCTGAATACATAACTCCACAGCGAGAACGTGAAAACTGAATTCAGGCCTAATCTAAAAGCCATCAAATTCTCCTCACCACAGTGACTCTCTATCCCAATATAACTATACTTCTCATAAATGGTACATTTATAGGAAAGTTTTGACTGTTATTTTATTCCAAGCTTCGGAGGCAGAAAAGACAATCTATGCAGGAGTATAGCATGGTAAATATATAAAATGGGAAAAGATTCAGGCAGGAGGATGAGAAAAGGGGGGAAAAAAAAGAAAAAAGAGTAATCACTTTTTCCAAAGACCTTCTGAGACCAAATACAAATGGTGATATGTACTGGATTATATATTAGGGATAAAGTACAAGGGAGAGAGGAAATGTCTAAGAGTAAGGGATGTGAAAGAAGCGGCAAAAGGTCTGGCCAGGACGGACATGAGCTTTTGGACAGGATGGTAAGGAATGGAGTCAAAGCACATGCTTCCAATTAGCTTTGTGGGTTTTTTTAATTTTTTTGTTTGTTTGTTTTTTTTGTTTTTGTTTTTTTGTTTTTTTGTTTTGTTTTTTGGGTTTTAAGAAAACCAGCCTCCTTCAGTGAACAAACTATTCCCTCAGTTTGAGATACTACTACAAACTGAATTTAAACTTCAAAACAAAATAATCAAACAAAACCACCATATTTCATACTGCCATAATTTACATATAGCAAGACAAATTATCTGTAAGACGCTCTCTGAAATGAAAAAAGTGCAAATTCATTTCACATATGTAGACTACATTAAGCTTCCCATCACAATATTTCTTTTCCTGTCAGGTATTATTTCTTAGAGTTTAAAAGCCCAGGAGAGAACAGCAGTGAGATGAATTACTTAGATTTTTCAAAAAGCACATCTCCTGTCCAGTGAAATAGAACACAAGAAAATCAACCTATCATTAACTATTGACATTAGTAACTATTAGTAGTATATTCCCAGGCACACTGAAGAGTGTTGCAGCACAGTTTTGAAAAGAAAATTTCCCACTGACATCAGTGATTTCTCTAAGAAAAAGTAGATGCCTTGCAGAAAAGGCACTTCCTATTCTAATTAGGTAAAAGCAGAGCTCTTCAATGATTAGAATCCTACACAAAGAAGGAAGAGAAAGAACTAAATACGTATGTTCCACTTTTTAGCACAAAATATAATATGAACTTTAAGTAGCTGCTTCCCATGCAAAGAAAGTCTTTTCGATGTTTGTGTAATGCAATGTTAGAAAGGCTCTAGAGATTTTCCTTCCTTCTTTCTGACTGAGAAATACTGGGATCATTACTCATAAGATAAAGCCTCAGAAAGGTCTGAAGCATTGAATTCTACTGGTTTCATATATAATTTAGTTTTGTTTAAACCTTATAAGATACCCTTCCATCTACAACGAATACTTTTATATGACAAATTCTACAGTCAATGCTAATTCAAAGACCATTCAGACATAAAGCAAAATATTCTTACCTGGAGCCCAAGAAATGGAATAAATAACCCCCTCATTACCAGGAGATGTATAAACCGCTGATAAAGTATTAATGTCCCAAACTTTTATTGTGCCATCAAATGAAGCTGTAGCAAGAAGATCAGGGTTATCAGGTTTGAATTTGCAATCAAAGATGGTCTCAACATGTCCCTTAAATGAAACAAATATTTAATCCATTTTTATTACATTTGATTTTTTAATAAGACCAACTCTAGATCAAACTCTAAAATACACTGTATTTAATTGACCTGTCAGGTCAATTAAGAGTTCCAAAAAACCTGCATATTATGGCTTATCAGTCAAAATTAAAAGTCATAAAATAGCTTAGACTATAACAGTACTCTCTTTCAGAGATCATTATTAAAGACAGAAAAATTATTTCCTGAAACAACAGGGCACACAATGCCAGAAATTTGTTAACAATTTCTGTTGGAACTGAGTTGCTAAAAAACAGAAAAAAAAAAAAAAAAAAAAAAGCAAAAAAAGAAAAAATAGTTAATTTTTTAAAACAGAATTAATGTTGCCCTTTTGTTATAAACTATGTGACTGCAAAATAAAGCTCTGAATGTTAAACATGTTCTACAAGTTGTCTAGTACTGAATTTTCTGTCTTTCTAGATACAGTCTATGGTCTATTGTAGTTTAAAATTCAATCCATTAGAAACTCCACAAGTCAGTTGCTTGTTTTCTAAGACATGCACTTGTAGAATTTAAGTCGGCAAATATATGAAACATGGTTAATATGCAAGAATTTTTTTTAAGCCTCAGTTGCTTTACAGGACCAAACCCATTAAAAATGGAAAAATAACAGCAGCCAACAGCCTCTATTCAAACACATACAGGATTACAGCTGAAAATTGTTGGTTTTTTTTCCAAATGAAAAGGGAACTTGTAAAGAGGAAAAGAGACAAATCCTTAAGAATAACCAAGCGCCCTGTGAAGAAGAGGCTCATCTAATATGGGATAAACCCAATTCTGAATTTCAGCTTCAACAAAAATTTCATAATTCAGTCTTTGTAATTTTAAACTGAGTGAACTCACCATATATCCCTCTGATTTGACTAGAATCCTTTTTCTGAATTATAGAAAACCCTCCAGCCCTTCTGAGAAGGCCATCAAATTAAAATTTTAGTTAAAAAAAAAAACCAAACCACATAAACCCCCACAAGTCCTTAAATCTTTATTTCTGGATGAAAACAAACTGCCAGAATACTGCCAACAGGATTCAGTCCTTTGCAATAAAGAATTATTTTCAACTTCAGAACTGTCATTTGTTTCCTAGAAATTTAGAGTCTTTTTGATAGAAACTGCTGTGAAGACTTCATTCCCCATTTTTTTTCCTGTTAGAAGAAAGTGTGTAAGCCAAATAAACTCTCATTTCAAAGACAGATGAACCATACCAAATCTCTAAGGAAATCCCACTTTTTGGCTCCCATGTCGTAAAGCCCCACTCCACCATCCATAAAACAACAGACGGTGTGACCAGGAGGAAGAGAAAATGCTTGGTTTTGGGTTAAAGTTGGAGGAGGAACAGCCTCACTTGTTGAAGATGTATGATGATTTTTAGTAGGATACTGTGATGAACGTGCTTAACAAAATAAAGCAAAAGACAGAAATAGAGAAGATTATTTCTTATTTCAATAATAAGTAACAATTATAAAGAGTAAAATGCTTTGTATTCCAATGAGATTTAAAAATAAAGAAATGGAGAATTCCTGTATGAAGCCTGGCCTGCTAAAGAAGGATCCTATAAAGTGCTTGATCCTTTATGCATTTGTCTAGTCCACCAGCAGCAGAGGGTACTTGGTTTAATTAAGAACTACAGAGCTGTCCAAACTTAAGGACTGACTTGGACATAACAAGACTCGTAAACAAGATTTTCTTAACTGGCAGCCATTACAATGAATAACAATCAAAATTACACTTACACTTTTTCTTTGGAGGAGAACTTAGCACATGCAAACCATGGAAACCCGTTTGCTTCAATTTAAAATTATCTATAGGTGTTGTACGTGAAACATTCCAAACACGTAACACACCAACCTGAGAATCTGAAGTTTAAAAAAAAAACAAAAACAAAAAACCAAAACAGAACACAGAGATATGTGGTTTAAGGATTGATTTATGCAAAAATGCAACAATGAATTAAACTTCAAATCCTAAGAAGAATTTTATAAGCAGACACTGTCATCTCTATAGAATCACAGAATAATTAGGGTTGAAAGGGACCTGTGGAGACCATCTAGTGGAACCTCCATGGTAATATTCTATTTATCTTCCATTTACTTCTGTGGTAATATCACATTAACAACAATAATTATTAATATTAGCTATTTAAACATAGATAAATTCTATGGAACCTTTTTCATAAAATATTCTCACTGTTTCAGTTTCCTTATTCATTAGTTCAACTTGAGCAGTAAGGTCTATGGTGTAGAAAACAAATAGATTCTTTTCTTTTTTCTTAATTTATAAATCTTCTAAGTGACATCCATTAGTATAACACATTTTTATTCGTATTCTCAAAGTAACTCATATATTTGTTGCAAAAGTGTGCATGAGAAAAGTATTATTTAGTATTAAAAAAAGCAGAAAGTCACTTGCTTATGTACCCAACAAATTTAAAACAAGTAAAAACTGCTCAGTGTAGTTTTCTATTATTTTCTAGTTTTATATTGGTGTCTTGTATGCTTTCATTTGTAGAAATGTTAAGAAAAAAAAAAATCACACTTGGAGTATCAATTTTGAAGATTCAGTCCTGTATTTATTACCTTTGTATAAGTCAGGAAATAAAAGTCTTACCTCCAGTTATAAACATTCCAGGTGCACTGGAAACCCAGGCTAAACACTGAACAGATGCTGCTGCACTGGGAAAACTAAAAGTTGTGATACAGGACAGAGATTCAGAATCAACTAGTCGAATACCATTATGTAAATTAGCAACAAGAAGGTAGTCAGTTGACAAAGGGTCCCACTCCAGTGCTGTAACTGGATCCTCTTCATCCGTTCCTTCAAGAGACTCTGGTCTTAAGACATGTTTCTGATTTTTAGAACCTTTAAGTGCACAAGAAAACAGATTATTTAAAAATGAAATTAAGTATATCCTTTCAATAGTTACAAGGTTCACAAACATAATTCTTTATCTCTCCCTGAAATTTTCACTATCTTGCTCTACCGGCTGTACCAGCAAAATTAAAGAAGCTGGCTTTGCAGTATTTGACTTAAAGCAGTTCTGGTTCCATTCGATCCAACTTTATTTTTAATAAAGCAGAAAACAGAAACAGCTGTCAGGCTTATTAACATAATTTTATAAGAAAGTATGGTAAATTATATACATTGTTCTAACAATTTCCAGGAGTAAAGGCCTACAGCACAGCCTGAAATACAGTCATTTGAGTGTAAGTAAATCTGCACACCACAGCAAATACAGGCAAAATAAAGGTAGTATGAACTAGAACAAAACTGTGGCAGTCAAAAAAGTTTTTATAAACAACTGCCTTTAGATTTTTTCTTCCACAAAACTATGTGTGCAATTATGAAGCATTTATAGATTCTGTAGCCAAAACAGGCCATTAAGTACTCAATTTGACACCTGCAAAAAAGAAGACATATTTCACTTGATGATCCATACTACCAAGAACCATACTTTTTAAACAAATTTATTTCCCACTTTTTATTTTTACAAAGAGATGGATCTTAGTCCCGTGTCCAGTCCAAATGAAATTGAGCTCTATTTTTGAAGTTGTGATCTTGTACTAAAAAAAAAAACCAAACTAATTTTGTACCCCTTTTCTATAAATAAGGGATTGACATCTTCCATTATTCAGCTTCTATCTAATTTTCAATTTTGGTACTGGAGACTACAATTAATTTTTCATATTATGATAACTGTCAGGACCTACCGATATTCCTTAATAATTGATGTAGAACAAAGCCTATTCTGATACAGGCTAAATAAAAGCTGAAAAGCTTTTGTTCACTAGGGAACATTCTGAATACTAAAACAGCTCTCACCATGATTTTCTAGGGAAAATGTTGTTGGTGCACATTCTGTATCAGGTAACTTTATAAAATCAGTTACCAGAAATGAGAAAAATAATTTAAGATTGCACAACAACTAACACCACAAACCAATTTCTCTGTTCCATTTTTTTTCTTTGGTTTTCTGAAGCCTTGGGAATAATATCAGAAATATGATCAGATAACTGCTTTAATTTGCCAAAAATTTTAGGATTCTCACTTTTTTAAACAATATTCTCTCCTTACACTTCAGTTCAACTGTTTGGTTGACTGAAAACAACACTGAAATGAAAAACAAGAACTGACGACAAAGCAGAACTGTCATTTTTCAGTTAGCTATACAAGAACTAAAAGCAAAAAGTCTTTGAATGATCAAAGCCAGCCATGTTCAAACACTTTAGTCTCAAGAAAGCACAATCAACTGCTGGGAGAGAGTATGAATATCTAGGAGTTATTCAGTTTTACCTGTGTTTCACAAAAGAATCCAAAAGGAACCCTCCTGAAAACCCTAACTGTTAAATTTTAATTTTCGTTAAGAGAAGATATCAGCACTATAGATCATGCAGTTGAGTCACAGGTCATTTAAACAAGTTGGGCTTATTTTGAGAACAAATGAAAGGTAAAGTACTACAGAATATTTGGTTCTATATGACTGCATTGTACTCCTCTGAAAATTAGGTACTAATTGTTGCATATTTTTTCTTTGCACTAAATGTTTTGCTACATTAATGGATAGTCTAGAGTTAACAAAAAAGAAAATACAGCCATGAGAGAAAAACCTAAGTAGGTAACAATAATTAAAAAAAGTGTAGTCTCCTAATTATGCAGCAATGAGTCACACTAAAGTAGAAATACTAGACCCTTCAGCGAGTCAATCGCACTGAACTTTGAAGCGATCAACCAGAACTTGTGGATGTTCAGAAATTTATTTTGCTTGGTGACAAACTAAGTTCTGATCCAACGACAACACATTTTACATGAGGTAGATGAGGGCTGAACTTCAATCTCAAAGCAAAAAAGTTAGCTCTCTATTCTTTACTGTTAAAGTACCAATTCTTTGTGTCACCCATGTCTGCCCCTCCACTTTCTTTTTTTTAAACAGAAGGCCTATATTCACCCTACTGATTTCACTTTCTTCAGTGTATTGTTACTTTTTAGAAGCCACCAGTTAAAAAAGTCAGACAAATTTTGACTATAAACTGTAAACTAGAAACCCACAGTTAAAAAAACAGCTAACTTGGATAAGCCTATGTTTTCAATTATATCTGAATGTTAAGACACATATTAAAGGAATTTACATTTAAAGTGTAATCATAGTAATGGTACTTCTATTTTATTATTCTGTTACAATCTATTTTTCAGTATTACCTAGTTTTGAAACATATTTTAATGAATTTATCTGTTCACCAAAATTTTCAAGATCTATTCTCAAACACATCTATGTTTTCACCCAAACAAATTCTTTGTCTTTTTCTAGTAGTATAAAGAAAGCAAGTTAAAAGGAAACTAATACTGGTCTGCATCCTTTCAAAATCATTATGATGGCTTCAATGTCATTGGCTTAATTACAAGAATGTAATGAAGGAGATGTAAAGAAAATGTAATGCTCTGCATTGTATAACTAAGAAAACATATTTTTGTGATATGGGAGGAGTAGGAATACTATGTATGTACCCACATTATAAAATATTTATTAAAGAGGTGCAGAATTACACACATATACAGAAACAAGCAATATATATATAAAAAAATAAATATTTTACCATATCAGTTTTTACCTGGCTGAAAAATAGATAGGCTTCCATCAGTATGTCCAAACACCACTTTTCCTTTTTTCTTTGGATGCCATCTAAACAGACTGATATCTGACAAGAAACTATGTGCTTCTCTATGTACAGTTACCCCGCTGTCAGGTCCTGAGATAGTCCAAATGTACAACGGCCCTCTATGGGACACAAATGCAACTGCATCACCTGCATTCCAACACCAGCTAAGTGATGAAGGAATTCCTGAAACATACAGGTAAACCTGATAAGAACCAGGATATGAAATTCAGTACAGTATTCCTTAACGCAGAATCAGCAATTTTCTTGAAAAATTGTAGAAATAATTGTTCTACATAAAAATTACTAGACTGAAATTTAGACAACGGTATGAACATCTCATGCTATAAAAGTAAATTACACATTTCCATAGGCACGAAGTAAAATTATTTCCCAAATTACTTTAATACTGCTTTGATGGAGTGTATTTTATGGTATCTGTACTTCATTACTGTTAAAGAGAATCACACTTATGAAAGAGGATAAGCCTGATCCTGTAAACAATACTTTCATTCATTCGGAATCCCATTCACCACTACGTTTTACTGTAAGCTATTTGCTACTAAGCTAGTAAAATATTGAGAACCTCAAAATGCCTATTTTTGCAATGAAATTCAGAGATAAATATAACAGAGACAGATATTTGTGAAAAAATTGGAAAGCCAGCTCTGTAATCTAAGGGAACTCTTGATAGCTTCCTTCTGGATATGTGACAGTTCTAATTCAGTTGCCTTACACCTAACTGTAGGCATTCCAGTTTAGAAATTTTGACCTTAACATCTCCAACCCTCATTATCTCCATAGCTTAAAAATGTCTGCCTGAAGGAATAAATGATGGTAAGAAAAACTCCTCAAGCTGACAATTTAAAATTGTATTTACATATTTTCACATGGCAACGTCAAAGAGTGTAAAAGAGGCATTAATAGGAAATTTAAACATATTATCCTAAAAGTAAATTAGTTTTTAAAAAGATTAAAATAATAATAATAACACTTCTTTCATGTGTAGTCATCGGCTGAAGTAAATTTTTAAACAAGCAATGTATTGAAAAATAAGCATCTGCTTTTATATTAATGCATAAACTGATACAATATTTCTTTTAGAATAGATGAAATCAGTCTGGGTTTTCCTTTTGCAGGATATGCAAGATGTACAAGGTTTTCAGAGGTATCTCAAAATGCTCAGGAGAGAACAGAGTAGGGAGTCCCAAAATGGCTTAATAGATCCTGAGATTCTGACTGTTCTTAGGTTGCACTCATTTTCCAAGAATGCAAATGTAAGAGTCAAGAACACCTGATGAAATTGACTGTAAGAACAGAAATACAGGTCCTGGTTTTGACTAAAGGGAATAAATCAGAGCTGGGTAGAGAGAGGTAATTGCAGACACAGATGTTTAACCCCCTAGACCTGTAACACAAAGTCCAAATCAGCAGTTTCAAGTCCTGAGAGAAGATTCAGGTAGACAAGTTTTAGGGTATTTAAACAAAAGCTGTTTTTAAAATTCACTATAATTTATACTTGAATCTGTTAAGACTACATTTTATTTGCTTTCACTTAGGTAAAGTTATCATGAAAACACACAAGTTTAAAAATGCAATTATTTACCCTTTTATACAGATGAAAATACTGTGCTGCATTTCTTTTCCTGCTCAATAAGAAATCACTAACAAAGTTAATTCTTGAATTGTTCAAGTACTTTAGAAAAAAAGAATAATCTCTTTCTTTACCACTTACAAGATGGTTCACAGCAATTCATTCACACTATCATTACTTTCTAAAATTGATTGCAACAGATCTGTCAAGAATATTGTTTTGGGCAATTGTTAAACCTCTGGCCTAACAACTGCTTAGAGTTTTCACTGTATCAAGTATTTCTCATAACCGTGCATTAAAAAGCTGTATGGATCAAATATCTCCTTGTCTGAAATACCTTTTGTATTGTCCAGCTTGGCCACAACTTTCTGTTCATTCACATTCCAAATAATCACTAAACTATCTGCACTGGCACTTGCAAACACGTCAGGGTTGTGGGGACACCAGGATATGGCTGTGATCGTCTTCTTATGCTCAGACATAATTGCATGGAGCTTGAACTCATTGTATCGGTGATCCAACTAAACAAATAATAAAAGGCATTTTAGACATACATTTTTTGTAAACTCACTTTACGTACTATTGGGTTGGAGATTAGTTCATATAACAGTATTAGACTTACAGATGAACTTATAGTGGATTTAACAATTGTCAGCGCCTCACATCTGAATAAATTAAATTCTCATATATTTGATAGAAAAGTTGTCAAATATCCAATTAGCTCAATTGGTATTAACAGTCTATTCTCTTGTCTCTTATAAACTATTAAATTTCATTAATAACTTTATTCAAACAATCCTAAAATGCTTTATTTATAGGCATGGTAACAACCATTTAGTAATCTCCAAAGAGTTAAACAGGATAGAATACGAAAATGAGTTTGAAATCCTTCTCATTTTTTTAATCATACTCATTTTTTCATACAGTTAAAAACCAAAAAGAGAAAAAAAAAATCACATGCCCAAACATGACACAGGAAATTTTGTTTATTTTAATCCTACAAGCGGTATAACTCTTGAAGTTAAAGTAAATGTATCCTTTATTTCCTTACATATTTCTCATTCTGAAAATTCCACATCACAGCATTTCTATTTTTTAGTAACCACAAACTTCAGAAGACCACAGTCCTGAGCAGTTTAAGTTCCAAATCAAATAAAGGTGGGCCACAACTCTGGAATCCACAACTTTGAAGCAGTTTGATCCACTGTGCACAGGACTATTTTTATACTACAGCTTCAAATGAAACCACAGAATTGCTTCATTTCTCTCTCAGAACATATTTTTCCGTTGCTGCACTTCATTCATCTCAAGTGTTTGCTGGATTGTGAGCCTGGCTTTTAAAAATAACTCTTGACATATACAACTTTAGGGCTATCTTGAATGGAAGACTGAGTTTTACATAGACATCTTCTAAGCACCTACCATACTTCCAAAAGAATTGCAGAAACATTTATTAAAAGGGTTCAAAGTGAGATCAACAACAATGTAAAAACATAACTATTCTGATAAACAAGGATAATCTTACCTGATAAATATAAATAGCAAGGGTAGCACAGTAGGCAAATCTGTCCCCACTAGCAGCACATATATCCTTGTTCCATGGCTGACATCCAGCAGCTAAAAGTCCCACTTGTTTAACCTGTGACATTTTTGCCTTTAAAACAGAAATTCATTAGACTACAAGAAGACAGAATTTTAAAGAAGAGAATAATACTTCTTTGTTCCCATAATATCTACCTTAAAAATATAACTAGCTTGAGATACAAAAGAATGTTTTCAAAATAAAGTCATGTAGATGTTTAGAGGCTTCAGTGCTACAGAAGAAAGGGTATTGAACACCATTCACAACAATCCATTTGGAAGGAAAAAGAAGCGGCGGGGGAGGGGAAGCAGCGAATGAAAACTTGAATAGTTCTTGATGTGTACTAGCTGAAACTGTTCATCATTCCCATTTTCTTCTGCATTCTGGTTCAATACTTTCTATTATGTTTAATGCCCTCTCTGCTCTCCCATTCATCTCCCACTGACAGTCAGACAAAATAAACCATATGCTAATAGTTTTGTTTTAAGTTAAAGCAACATGTGTACAAAGGTCTTCAAGCCACTTGCACAGAACAACTATGCAGTACATATTATCATCATCCTTTATGGGAAGCTTTCTAAATTTTCTTAATAATTACTTTTTAACAAAAAAGTTGAAGTAAGCTGTGGAAAAACAAAGGCAAAGCTTAGTGTAACATTACTGTACAGCAAACTATGCCTTCAACATCCAAAACAAATTTCATACTACCATCTTGCTCTGAGTGAGACAACTGTTTTTAACATAAAAACGTAAGAAACACCTTGCTGAGCCAGACCAATTATCTACCTAGCCCACATTTGATCCATGATAATATCAACATGCTACTTAGTAACAGAATGTCTCATTTGGGGCCACATTTATGCTGTGAATAGATTATTGGACTGGGGGACATTATGTAGAAAAACATTACATGTAGGATGACTTCTTTAGGTTAAAGAGCTAAGACTATGATGTTGAAAGACAAGAATCTTACAGGTGCTAAAACAATTCAACAAGTGTTTATTTCAGAGTAACAATACATGTGTCTTGTAGGATTCTGCAGTAATCTGTATTTAAAAAATCCTGTTAATAGATGAAATTTTTGAATTTAGATGAAAAATGCTGCTCTGTACAATACCATTCTTTCACTGATTTAAGAATTCGTGCTTAATAAGTGTTCTTAAAATTTGATTTTTCAACTAGATTTTTCCTATTCAGGTATATATAAAGAAGTTACATGCATAAAATACTCTGAGCTGTATTACAGAAAGGAATGTACACTTTATTCACTAATATTTGTTGTTTTAAACTTGTTATTATTTCCTGCTCCTTGTAATGAGCTATATACCATTTTACAAAGGGAAGAATTTGCTTTGAAATTCAGTACAATAGTATCTAGAAGAAATGACAGTTGTATGGCATACTAACTTAGTCTCCTGTAAGTATCATGCATTAAAGCAGTTTCCTGCAGATCTTTTCGGACATTATAGATTTTTGTTAAGCATACTTATAGTATAAGGGAGAAAGCAGCATTCATCAGAACAGCCTGAGTAAAAAGACAAAAAAGGGCAGTAACTGAATATAAATAGGTATGATTTCACACATGGTGCATTTTTATACATTTTTCATACTTTCTAAAAAAGCATTTTATTTTGAAATAAGGGATGTACAAGTAATTATACTGAACTCTAAATATACCCTGAAAAAAACCCTGTGCATGTAAAAAATGTATACCACACTGGGAAAGCTATCAGATGATGCCCACAGTTTCCAAGGAGATGAAATAAAGAGGGAGGACAACAAAAACCTTTCTTTTCAATTGGTAGAAGCAGGAACACTCTAAGCCCTCTCCTGTTGCTAAATATAGAAAAAAAAGAAAAAAACAACCAACCACAATAAACTTAAATTTTGTATATCATAAATATTATTGAAAAATAACAACTGAATGGACTATATATAGAGGCACGGCTTTATATTAACAGCTTGAAGATAAATGCCTAATAATCCCTACCTTAGCATAGGTGTCATTTTTTGTAAACCACTTTAGCATTTCCATGTTCATTCCAATACCTTGCTGCTCCCAAAAATGGAAAATATTATTCTGGTTGTAGAACGAAATCACTTTACTTGACAGATGAAGGAACTAAACCTTGATGTTCACAGAATAATGCAGTTACTACAGGATACAGGAGAAAAGACTGAGCATTGTGTCGCACCACACACAAAACGGCAGTGTCAGTAGCCTGGCAACTGCAGCTCTTTAAAAGGCACCATTTTAATTTTAACCTAACTCCTGCTTCTCTGCTTCAGCTACTCAGTGTATTTCATTCCTTGTTGTATTTCCCAATTGTACTACAATGACACTTGTAGAATAATAGCAGCTCTTTAAACCCATCACTTAACACTTCCATTATCAATACATGTGCTTGCATGTTTTAAGTATCCGTAACTTTATAACCATCAAGCACAACCAATAACAGATGCTTACATATGCTTTGATTGTGGTCCATGTGGTGTATGACCTGTCCAAATGAGTCCCCATGCAGTACAGCACGCATACAAATGTGGATATACAATAGCCTTATATTAGTCAACATGCTTCTGTGTATACAAACCCCTAGTTTCTTAACAGCTATATACAGTGAAGTGCCAGTGTCCTCTGCTTCTGTTCATTCTATTGTCACTATCTTCCCATTAAGTTTGCATCTTTTCTTATGCGGAAAGCATGCTGATGCTCCTGTAACTACTGTCCTCATGTAACAATATTTTTGTCAGTATATCAACGATAATGTAATAATCAAAAAGATCTTTAGTGATACCAAAGTGATGTCTCCCTAAGATATTGGGTATATTTACCCATCTTTGAGGGAAAATCCATTGAGGATGAAAATGTGACCTAGGAACCATAGTGTTTCAAATTCATTACCATGTCAAATGGGACCAGTTTGAAGCAAAATCATTTAAGTTTGCTAAAAGCATGAAGTTGTTCAAGGCTACCAAGAAATCTTGGCATGTTTGCAAGACACAGCAGTAAACAACTTCTTTCTGACAATGCCTGCCTCAATAGCATTGAGTCTCATGTAATAACATAAACATAATTAATTCATTAATAACATATTCATAATTAAACATAAATAATTATTCCACCAAGCACATTACAGCCATGTTAAGAAATTAAATTCTCATAATTTGTCCAGACCCATGAAATAATGGAGAACTGGAAATATTCTAGTACATATGAAGCTGAAAAGCTAATAGAAAACTTATACCGTGAAAATTTTGACAAAATAAAAAAAATTCTTCCTACTTTGGAATGCTGCAAAATGCTAATGAATATTCAGTTCTTGATGTGATCTACCCAACTGCAGTTACTAGTGTAGGTCTCTACATAGTCTGATTGAGATGATACACACTACTTCAAGAAACTGCTTCTGGGCAAAAGATGAGCTAAGTCTGACTATATTAATAATGACAGTCACAATGTAAAACAATGTAGAATAATTATATAGGTTTACACATGTACTGCTCGACACAGAAATGCAGCCTGACATACTCTCCAGCAGAATTTAACCAAAGTAGTCTAATACTTGCTAAAGCACCAGATTGGTTGCTAGTTTGCCCTTAAGCAGTACAGACAATTTGTACACTTCTCTGCAAAAACTGGGAAAGTTTTTTCCACTTTTGCATACAATTCATGGCACACAGGCTATCTACAGCTCCCAGAGAATCAGAAGATTAACCAGAGGCAGGAAGAGGGTGCCTTGGACAAAGTTTTGAACTTCAATAAGATTCTTCAAGAACACCAGAAGCCTTGGCTAGACTCTTGCAACCAGAATTGCAGATGACATTTCCTAGCCTATGGTAACCTAGCAAGTGTTCAAAATGCGTGCATTCCGTTATCCAGACAATGGCTAGGAAAAGAATACTTTGATTTAAAAGCTCATTTTAAATGAACAAGTGTTCTACTAGTGTTCACAGCCATTTTAAACCTCCACAATAAACTTGGACCCAAATCACTACCAGAATTTCTTTAACCACAGGATCTCTTGGCTTCACAAGGGAAGTACTTGTGGACCTTACTCTGAAGTTTGAAACTTGAAATTGCAGCCCAAGATTGTATTTCACAGAAACAAGCATTTGGAATAAAACCCAAATACATTAATCCAAGATAGATACCCTGCTTAGAAAATCAAAGGTAAACAACATTAAAAACCCAGAACTTAGAACAAGCCTTACAGAGGAGTATTTTTGACTGCCTTGATTACACTACTTGTACATTTAACTAGAATATCCTTTATTGTGCAACTTTAACAAAATAATCTAAAGACCAACACTTGGGTTCAAAACAAAGCATGCAGAAATGCTAACAGTTCTAACAATACATCATCAGCAATGCTAAACTACACACCTAATCAATACAAAACACATCTAGCATCATCTATAGAGTATTGGTTAATCATATGGTATCAGAAATCTAGTTTGCAGATACTGTGAGTAATACAAAGAGCTATATACAACCATGTCTGATCTCCCTATGAAGCATCTAAGAGTTTCCATAAGATTTTGTTCTCATCTTCCAATCCGGAACTACTCCAATCACCAGAAGATTGCTTTTCTGTATACAAATTGCCAAGGTAGTTCTGATGTCAGATAAAGTTACCTCTTGGCACATCTCACACCTGAATCTCTGATGACAGCTATTAAAAGGTAACTCCACATCTGAAACATTCACATCACGAGTGATATATAAAAAGAGAACAGTGAAACAGTATTAAAATCTGCCGGGTTTTTATACTTACAAGCATATAACTGGCATTATCAAGTAATACACAATAATATAATGAAAGCAGCTGCTTATGTTTCAGTAGCATCTCCTGCATTCCAATTTGTTAGCTGATGATATTGTATGGAAACAAGAAAAAGAAATCACAGAAATAATAGTTCCATAAAGGAGCTTAACACAGTGAAATATATGAGACTTATATTCACTTCCTACCATAAACCTATGAAAGCAGCTGCAGATTAAGCTTGCCTAAGGCATGCAGTTAATAAACATTAAAAAAAAAAGTCAAAGATATCCTGCAAATGTTGTTATAGTAACAACTCCCCCTCCTCAGAAACATGTTAATAAAAATGTACAGCTATCCAAGGTACAACTAGACATATTTAATATCTCCCAAATATTTTTGTTTTACTCAATTACTGCTTATAACTACTTTAGTTTACTCCATGCATGCTATATTAATTCCTCTAATACAATAAAATTAAATGTTTGATTTCCATCTCATTGCATATTAAAGAATTACTCATTAAATTATGCAACCTAAAAATGCAAGTAGGTGGCTATCAAACTTCCAGTACCTTTTATCCAGCTAGCAACATTAATTTTCAAAAATCTCATTTTGGATGTGCTTTACCCAGGATTCAAGACCTCATTAAAGCTACTAAAAATCCCTTGCGAGTACCACAGTGGAAATATTATTTTTTGATACTATCGATATAATAAACAGCAGCTTAAAGAAGAAAAATATAAAAGCAGTAAAAGAGAAAATTTTAATTTAAACAATTCTTACTCGTCGTTGTCCTTCATACCAGTCATCTTCATCAAACCAGTGAGAAATATAAGTCATCCAAGCCATGACAGAAGGCACAGTTGAAATAAAAAATACAGAACCTGAACACATATAAGTCCAATGTGTACTGTGCTAAAATTTACTCAACACTACAGCAACCTACTCAAAGAACAGATCTGAACTCTGATATGAATTTACATTAATAAGCTTTAAAATCATAAATCTGAAATACTTTTAGCAGCAATTTAAATGCTCTATGTCTTGGATTTTCTACTGGAAAACAGAAATCAATAATAAAACAATAAATAGATTATATATTCACATATTTTAAATTAAAGCAGACTAGTGCTTCAAGCTCTAGATTTTGCTGTGTTTCTGAGCTCTGAAAACGAGGTGCTGTTTGAGTAATTCTTATCTGTCTCCTAAAAATTACTTTCTTTTTTCAAATGAAATGTCTGTATGAAATGTTCAGTGCATAAAAGCTTGTATTGAAATGTAAATTATCTTCAGAGTCATGGGGAACGATTTGTTTTGGTTATGTAGGGAGTGGTTTCAATTGGCACAGTAGGAGGGGCCAAAACTATCACAAATGCCAAACATCGGTTTAACATTTTTTTAAAAAGGGGGAAAAAAAGAAAGAAAAAAAGATCTGCAACTCCATTGTTTGCAGCCAGTAGAGCCTGAAAGGCTCAGCTACAGCCACCAGCACTGGCTGGGAAATATAAAAAGCCCAATCTACCTAATTCATCGAAATGGATCTCTTTCTTTTTTCTCTCTCAGAAGTTTCACATATCTGATGGCATTTATTCCTTCCACAGGCAGTATCCTTTGCTGGTATGCTCTCAAGTTTCATATTAAATTTCACAGTGCATTATAGCAATGAAAACAAAAGGTAAAAAGAGGAATAAAAGCTGTACTGCTCATACCACATTTCGGTACTGCAGCAGCAGCACACTTCATCAGCTGTGCTGTTTAGGAGATATTTTCATACAAATCTTTCTGACTGCATGATTACAGCAACTATCAGATCCTCAACAGAGATTATGAAGATCTAAAAAACCCAGTTTCTTAAGCAACCCAGAATCCAGACAACCTCTGCCTTTCTGTACTGGATTAACAAGCTGATTTCCAAAATCGGTAATATAATAAATGCAAAAAACTGCAAAGTCGATTGTTTAATCAAGAAATAAACAAAGCAAAGTAGAAAAAGAACAGCTGAAAGTACCAACTATTAACCTGATGTTAGTGGTGAACATTACTTACCATTTCCACAGAGCAACTCAGTGTCATTACCTGTCCTACTCCAGCACACGTAGTTTCCATTAAGGGTATTGTATAAGCAAGCTACATTTCCACATACACAGCAGAGGAATAAAGAAAAGCAGCAATACTATTGGTTTCCAACCTCTTTTTCAGAAATTATGACATCCCAGGGAAAAAACCCAAACCAAAAAATACAAACCACACACACAAAACAATAAATATTTAAATCCAGACACTCACTACATTTAGCATTTCAAGATTATCAGATTTTTTTTGTGCTTATACACTCTTCCAGATAAATGGATACAGACACAAGAACACAGAGAGGGAACTTCTCACCGTACTGCTGAAATTTTTCAAATAACTTGCCCTTTGAGATTTTGGCTCAAACAAAGCGAAGTGCACATTATATTACATGGTCTGATAAACTGTATGAGAAACATACGATTAATTCATTCAATTCTAATCACACTGCTGAAAAAATCCCCAACTATATCCAAGTTCTATGACTAAATGATAAAAATATGACTGATGTACCACTCCTATGTATAAAAATTTTACAAATTGCTAGACAAAACATATCCACATTATTTCTGCTTGCTACACACCAAAATCATGGTTTCAAATAAATTAACACTAACATGTTTAGGAAAGTCTTTGCTTTCAGGCAAATCTGTCTTCTCATAAGGGCACATTGCATCATTAAGAATCTTGATCAAAGAATTACAAGTAGTTCAACAGTAACAAACTTGTTTCTCTGTTATGCCTATAGCTGTTCCATCGTCTATATGAACTGAGTTTCCTAGTGTCTATACCAACCTGTCAAAACAATGAGTCTCTCAAGACAGACAAACACTGTGATTCACATTTAGTTTCAGGATCATCAGGGAAGCATGGGCTAAATGAAAATGGATACTGTATTATTCTTTCAGTAAACTGGTAATATCTTCAGCTCAAAGGTACAAATGCAATTCAAATCTTCTCAAGATAGTGTGTGGAAAATTAAACTGCTTTAAAACATCTGTTACAACTACCTGTAAATAAATTAAAAAGTTTTGTGTTAAATTATACATGAAAAATAAAGATATGAAAGACTAGTAGCTGCAAATGCATCATGGGTTCGTTATATTTTTTTGCCTATTCTACCATTCATCTCCAAGTGCTGGAAAAACTATTATATGTGTGCTGGGTTTGGCTGGGATAGATTTAATTTTCTTCACAGTGGCTGGTATGGGGCTGTGTCTCAGATTTGTGCTGAACATAGGGTTGACAATACAGAGATTATAATCAATACAGATTACACAGAGGTGAGGCCTTTTCTGCTTTTTATACTGCCATGCTGGCAGACGGACTGGAAGTGCATGGGAAGCTGTGAGGAGATGCAGCAGGGAGAGCTGACCACAAATGACCAAGGGGATATTCCAGACAATATGACATCATGCTCAGTATATAATGTGAGGGGGAAGAAGGAGAAAGGGACATTCGGAGTGATGATTGTCTTCCCAAGTCACCAATGTGCATGATGGGGTCCTGCTCTCCTGGAGATGTCTGAACACCTGCTTGCCCACAGGAAGTAGTGAATGAATTCCTTGTTTTGCTTACTTGTGTGCACGGCTTTTGCTTTCCCTATTAAACTGTCTTTACCCATGAGTCTTGCACCCTTTTACCCTCCTGATTGTCTCCCAAATCTTGCTGTTGGGGGAGTAAGCAAGAGGCTGCATGGCACTTGGTTGCTGGCTGGGGTTAAACCATGGCATACAGGTATAATAAAACCTATGTGTAGGATGAATAAAGCTTTGTGTACTATTTATTACAATAAAAACATGAAAAATCTCAAAGTATTCTATTCCTTAAATTGTTGTAATTAGGGTTAATATTATTAAATGTTTTATAAGTAACTGAGTATGCATTTAACCTAAAGTCCAGTTGGTATCTCTAGTTAAGTGTTCTTTGCTCTCAATGTAAGGACAACAAAATGTACCATGATAGATCAGACCAGAAGAGACATCTTCAAGGTGTATTAAGCCTTACAATAGATTGCCCAATAAATTTATTTACAATATTCCAGAAAGAATGAAAGAAGATAAAAAAAATCATATTCATTTGATGCAGAAACAATTGTTTCATTTTTGAGCTGACAAAAGAAAATGGTATGATGCTACATCAGAGGACATTCAGATTAGACATTAGGAAAAGGTTCTTCACTGAAAGGATGGTCGGTCACTGGGTTCCATCTGGAAGCTGTCACGTCACTAACCTTTCAGAGTTCACTGAGCATCTGAATGATGCTCCTAGTCATATGGTTTAGCAAGGAACAGGGAGTTGGACTCAATGATCCTTAAGGACCCCTTCAAATTTGAGATATTCTGTAATCAAGCCTGTGCTGCAGACATTTCACAATTCTCCCTTTGGAACTAGGTACTCCCCTTTTAGCTCATTGACTAGGCATAAATACAGAAATCCCAAAATAGCCAGAAGGAAAAAATGGAAGTGATGATGTAAACTATGGTGCTTTAGGATACAAACATCACAATGTGTGGTTAAAGCTCAGTGCTACAATGGTCAAGAACTAATAAAAATCAAACACCACCAATCACCCTACCCCCCAAAAAATCAAAAAAAAAAATAAATCAATGGTTATCTTCTATTTATATTTCATATGAAAGTTGATCTTCTGGACACTCCAGTACAGATATCTGTTCATTATGACAGTAAGCTACTACCTTGCTTTCCACAAAGACATGACCTTAAGAATCTGAAAGGATATGCTGGAGACTATAGTGGTCTTAGTCTCTACACACTAAGAAAACTGTACCTAAATAAAACATACCTATATAGTTTACCTAGAAAACAAAGGATAAAAGATGACATCTGAAAGTAATGTCCTATATGGCGCTGCAATGAACAAACTAATGCTATTCTCCCATGTTACCTGGCAATATCTGAAGCCAGCAATGCATTTCAGTTGTGAAAAAAGATCTTCATGAATAGCAGAGAGATAATAAACCTCTATTTTGATATTCCACTTTTACCACCAAATTTGCTATTAATTAATCATATATAGTTGTTATACTGTGACAAATCAAGCATGCACTTCTTTTTTTCCAAATACATCTCTAACTCACTGCTTCTGTTTCTGCTTAAATATTATAAAGAGAAATATTCAGACATTTGTCTAATGTCTTTAAAAAATCAGGGTTTTTTTAATATATTTTTGCCACAAATCAGCAGCATTATGTATATTTCAAAATTAAGAATTATTTTCAATTAATAACTATATTAACACCTCAGAAATTTTTATTTTTGCTGTACCCAATTCTATGACAAAATTCTCTGCCCATCCATGTAGACATAATTTCACAATATGTCCCATCGTAGCTCTAAAAATTATCTACCTTAACTACTGATTTATTAAAGATTAATGCGCTATGATTTTGCATTTTGAAGACGCAAATTTCATTATATGTGTCTTCATGACGAAAACACATAACAAATAACTCAAGAACAAAATACTTAAAAAATTTCCTTAATTATAAAAGTATAAAAATTCATTACTTTAATAATTTGTATGCCATTATGTAAATTCATTACATCAATATCTGTAGTAAAGAAGTCCACTAAAGCCTCCAGTTTTATTTATTAACTAGTGCTTTAAGAACCTGTACACTGAGAATATGAAGCATGTAATGATGCTAAATATCCTAAAATAAATCCTAA